CTACGTGGCTGCCCAGCTAACTTCACATTATTTTTGCCAACAACACCTCCAGCTTGGGTAGACATCGAGAAAAATTCCATTCCAGATTTACCTTTATATGTTTATCTATATTCTTCAGATATTTAAACACTGAACATTTTTACAAAAAATCCCTTTCTAAGAAATACAATTACATTTTGGCATGTTGCACATAAATATGTCAGTGATTTGCCCCCATTGTTTCAATTTACTCCTATTTGGTGTAATGACAAGTTTTACCGGGTAGAAAGGACAGAGGATTTATGTCATGGAGTATGAAAGGTATTCAGAAAGTAAAGGATCTTTATGTGGATGGAGTTTTGCTTACTTTCGATCAATTATGTAAGTATCAATACCCAAAAAACATTTCTTCAAATATTTACAGTTAAAAAACTTTATGTCATCAAAGTCTGGGCAGATTATGTGTATTCCACCTTTAACGGAAATAGAGAAGATAACCCTGCATAATTTGGCGAAAAAGGGTCACCTCTCTAAATATTACAATGTATTAATGTCCAATGCCTAAGAGTCAACACTAGACAAACTAAATGCATGGAGAAATGACATTCAAGAAGATATTGATGAAGCAGACTGGAATGATGCTTGTTTTAAGGCACAGAAACAGACAATAAATACGAGATTTAAATTACTTCAATATAAATCGTTGACAAGAATGTACATAACTCCTGTCAAACTTCATCATATGTCTGCTAATATTCCAGATGTTTGTACTAAATGTGTCAATGAAAAAGGTACTCCTATCCACTGTCTATGAAAATGTCCAAAGATTCAGGACTTTTGGAAAGATGTTGTAAAATGTTTGTCAGAGGTTTTTAAAACAAAAATGTCTTTAATGTCAAACTCTGCGTGCTTGGACTATTTCCGGAGGACTTTACACAAACGCACAAACAGACCAAACTTCTGGAATTTAGACTTCTACAAGCAAGGAGAGCTATTGCACTATGTTGGAAAAGTATGGACGCTCCTACATTGAGAATGTGGATAAGGGAACTTTCAGAGTGTATTGGCTTGGAGAGAATAACGTACATTGCTAAAGGCAAACGAAGAGATTTTGTCCAGCTCTGGGAACCATATATGAACATTATAGAAGCCAGGAATATAGGCTTCACCTAAACAGAAATTATAAAATGTATTGTATTTATTTTTGATCTAAAAATGTAATCAAGTTGAGTGTGGGCATGTGAGTTTGTGTATTTTGTCGATACATGTATCGGTTTAAGGTCTGAAACTGTTTAACTGTTACTGTATGTTTCCTTTGTGTTTATAAAAATTGCCAATAAAAACACTAATCCCATCCAATAATACACAGAGCGTCTAAACACCACGCTGAAAACCAAATGACAGAAATGTACCTTCAACAGCCATCCGACTCTCAGCTGATTCTCCTCCTCCAGAGATGGTACACTTGTAGAGTCCTTCATCACGTTTGGTAACGCCGTGGATTGTCATGTTTTCTGTAAAGCTTCTTCCGATAAGGCGTCCATCTTTGTAGAAATCAGCTGGGTTGTGTGAGGTTGTCTTGTTTCTGCAGCGCAGAGTCACATCCTCTCCTTCCACCACACTGAGGGACTCTCCAGGATCACAGGACCAGCTGAACAACATAGGGTTCATATTTTATATCAAACAAAGATGAGTTCATGTAAAGATCTCGTCTTAATGCAAACATACCAGTAACAGTGATATAGATGATGTCGCTTGTCTTCCTATCTCCAGACTCACACCAGTATTGTCCATTGTCATCTAAATAAACAGTTTTCATTGTGCAGGATGACCTTGTTGATGTCACTGGAGTTTCACATGTCTGTAATTCCCCTTTGGACCGATGTACAATTTTCAGTCCAGTTGAGTCGTAAGAGCCCTCACAATGAAAGGTCAGAGACTCATATTCAAAGAACTGCAGTATGTTTGGTTCAGGACGGAGAATCAGTGAATCTGAAACAAATCAAAGAAAGACGAGTTCTCTTATTTCATCAGAAATTACCAAAGGAAGTTAAAATACAGCCAAGCAACAACCTGGTACTTACCAACGTCCTGAACATGTGCACACAGCAGGAATAAGATGTGGACCACTGCAATAACAAAAGAGAAGAGCTCCAAATCACTGAGACTTGTTTAACAGTCGTATATTGTACTCATTCTTACAGCTCCTAAAGCTGCCTTTGATGTTTGACTTTTAAAGTTTTATCTTTCAGGTCCTGAACTTTGTTTAAATATTCTGAACCTGAAAGCCTTTCCTAGCACCAATAGCTTCCTCTGCATTAAACCACTGAAGGGTCTCAGAGATTGTTATTTATCACCATCCTAACCTTTAACGAGAACATCATTTAGTTTAACCAAACGTACTCACAGAGTTTGATGCGGAGGCCGCCGACCTCCATGTTGACTGTCTGAACACTGAACTGAATTATAGCTGAGGAGGGGCTTCTTCCTGTGTGGCTTATTTCTGCTGCTCATGTCAAGCTGTACATTTAGATATTTTTAAAACAATGTTCACACTGACTGAGCTGCTGTGGTGGTGGTGTAGCCTCAGTTGATAGATTTGCATCATTTGGCGGAGCCAAAGACTGAAGCCGAAACAAAAAATGACTTTTTCTCAGAGTCAGTGATTCTCTGGATTTTGAGCAAAGGAACACGAATGCTTTGAGCTGAATGCTATTATCTGCATGCTAACATGTTCGAAATGACCATGCTAACATGCTAATGTTAATTAGATAAAAGGTTCACCATATCTCCAGCCTCTTTATGCATGCTAGCTTGTTTCTTTCCATGTTTACTTAACTACAGCAACGGCTGAAGGGAACATAATGAGTCCTTTTTGATGTTGTTCTTTTTCTTGAATTATTTAATAAATAACAGATCAGTCCACTGGCACTGCAAGAGGAAAAAAGGGATGTTTATGAGGTCATTACAGTTCTGAAACAAACTGATACTGAATACAGTTTCTGGTTTTGACCTTCAAAATCATGAAAGGTGTCTGACAAGACAGTTTTAAACATGCTGAACAACCATTCATTTATTTTACATTATAATGGGGGTCTTTTCTTCCACTGGACAGATGTAGAGGGACAGAAGATGTGGGGAGACAGGTACCAAAAAGTGCCTTGAACCTTGGAGGACTGTAGCTTCTAGTTTTCATGGCCTCCTGCTTAACACTGCAAAAACGAAGGAGATGGTTTTGGACTTTCGCAGGTCCAAGTCACCCTTTAAGCCAGTTAACATCAGAGGGGAAGTCATTGAGGTGGTGCAAATCTATAAATACTTAGATGTGCATCTGGACAATAAACTTGAGTGGACTGTGAACACGGACAGAGCCGACTCTTTTTCCTGAGGAGGCTCTGGTCTTTTGATGTGTACAGTGAAATGTTGGAGCTGTTCTATCAGTTTTAAATTAATATTGATGTTTTGTTTTCTCTGTTCTGTTTTTTCTAACTTGAAAGCTATGGGACACTCCTGAATTTCCCCCAGGAGATGAATAAAGTATTTATCTATCTATCTATCTATCTATCTCTACTCGACCCTCTGAGCTAAACCAGAGCTCCTGAAGAAACCATGACTGAGTGATACATGTGACTGTCAGATTTGTCTTTTTCTGGGTTCAGTCATCACTATTTGCAGTGTTATGTGCTGTTTTCTATGGTGGTCTTTATGGGTTCTCTCTGTGAATGAAATTACTGTTTTGACCTTTAATTTTAATCCATCATCAGACTCAGAACAACTTAAACAACATCATGCGCTTTGATTCATTGTCAATTGAATATTTAGCATGTGTTTTCCTTTGTAAACATTACTTTGTCCACCAAACAAGATTCTATAAATATTTGAAATCAAAAATGTTCATCTTTTTTTGTGTAGCCACGTGTAATTTAAGTCTCCAAGACCATTTTTGTGTTTCTACCGCTGACACAAACACACAAGGTCTTCTCTGCCCCCTGCTGTGCTTTTTAAGTTTTCTGACGACACTGCCATTCTCAGCCTGTTGTACCAGGACATGGACCCCTCATCATATTTCACTGAAGTACAGACTGTTGTTCAGTTGATGTGATGCTAACTGCCTTATTGCAAATGTAATTAAAACAGAGGAGATGGTGCTGGATCGTCGTTCTGGGGGAGATCATACCCATGTTTTTATCTATGACAAAAGAATCAACCAGGTCAGCGCCTACAGGTATCTTGGTATACATCTTGACAACCTGTTAAGCTGGAAAAGTCATGTTGATCATTTGTGTTGTCGTTTACAGCAAAGACTTCTTACGTAAACTCAGGGTGTTTGGTGTTGACTATCAGATCATGTTTTTGTTTTATCAGGTCGTGTTGGAGAGTGTCCTCAGGAATGGTATGTCAGCATGATACAGTAATCTCTCTGTTCAGTTAAAATCTAAACTTGCTCGTCTGGTGCAGACGTCTCTCCCTACAGTCAACGAGCAGTCTGTTCTCAGACTGGCACAAAGAGTGTTGTCTGAGCCGTCTCACGTCCTCCACTCTGAGTACGAGCTTCTACCTTCTGGCAGACGATAACAAGTCTCCTGATGTAAACTGAGCGTTTATAAAAACTATTTTGTTCTTACGTTGATAAAAATTCTGAATAATGTTTTGTAAGGCTGTGTGGGTTGGGCAATAGCATCAGGGGGTCCCTGTTTGCTTTTTATGTTCTCTTACCTGTGCACTTGTCTCCCATGCTGTGTTTCTGCAGATCCTGTGCATTATGGGTAATGTGCACTTTATGTTGTGTTGTTCTGTATTGGTATGTGCCTGTTTACATGTGGATGAGTTTGTCTATTGGTTTTATTATTGATTGTGGAGGGATCAGCTGAATGTTTGGCAGCACTGTGAGTTCCAGAGAATTTCCCCAAAGGACAATAAAGTGTATCGTATTGTTCACCGACCTCACTGCATCAAAAGAAGACAAAAAAAGACTTCCATCACACATCTTTAATAAAACATGTGAACTATTATTACAGATAGACAGATGTTCTTTGAATTGTTGTTGATATAAAAACATCCAGTGGAATATTACAGTTGAAATGTTCATGTTACCATCACAGATGTTCGAATTATAGGTCGATATTTTAGGTAGATACAAACAGAAAGTGAAGCTCTGAGGCTCGTGGGCTAGGGTTAGAGAAGACGTGGTCTCAGATGTGAATCTTAAAATAGAAAGACACTGAAACAAACTGTGGTTTGCACAATGTCAATTGACTTTTAGAATCTTCACATCTTCATATAGAAGCAGAAAGAACATCTGTTGCTGGAGACAAATCTAAATGAATCAACATGTGAATTAAATATGTGAAACATGTCAAACAGGAAGAGCTGCCATTATCTTTCATCTGCTCATTGCAAAACATTTCTAATGATTGGATTCTTTTAGCTGTTTAGAAATGTACAATGTTTTCATTGGTTTGCAAAACATGAACTGAATAGAAGTGGATCATCATTACATATAATTAACAAGATGATGTAACACATGAAAGAAAGCAGATGAATGAAGCATTATGGGATGTTCTTCATTTCTGGCAACCAAACAAGAAAATGTCTGTTTAATTGTTCAGCCTGTCTTATCTTTTATTTCGGCATCTGAAATCAGCTGAGACAGTGAAGCCGTCCCAGCAGCAACAGCAGCAGAGCCATCATCACTACAGGGAGAAGGTTTCTGAAGATGATGAACAGAAGATCTGAGGACGTGTGAATCTCCTGGTGTGGCTCTACAAAGAAGACATAAATTTTAGTAAAAGTACATTTTACCACAGCCCCAAACACAGCGCTACATTGCTTAGCTTCCGTGGTTACACTCAGACTGGCTTCTCCAAACAGGGGCCAGGATAACAGTCATCTTATCTTGGTAATACAAAGTATATTGAAAAGTTATTTATACAACCCTCCTAATCCCATCCGAGGGGGTCACGTGACCAGGACCAAGATGGCAGTTAAGTGAGGAGGCTCCCGAAACTGTGCATGATTTACTTAAATAAGACCTGATAAAAATGTTTCACATTTAAAAAAGAACCACGGTCTTGATATGCCAAAGACTTCTGCAGTCAAACAGTGTGATATTTTCACTCGAGGATGCAAGACGGGCACGAAAACTACTTCACCGAGTCCACCGAGTGATATAGAAGCTAACATGGCTAATATAGCTGAAGTACTGAACGAGCTGAAATCACTTCGTGCAGACTTCGGCACTCAGTTGGACAGTATTGACACCCCTCTGACTGAAATGGCGAACTCAATGGCTGCATTGGAAAATAAAGTGACAGAGGTAAAACGAGATGTCTTTACCAACGCAGCACATAACGAAGAAGCTGAAGGCTAACGAGACGGAAACAACTCTTGAAAAAACAGAAGCCGCACTAGACTCTGCAATCAAACATATTGTTTTTCTTGAGTCCAAAACAGAAGACCTGGAGAACCGGGGAAAAAGGAAGAATCTACGGATCTTTGGAATCTGAGAGGGAGCTGAGGGGCAACAGTCACTTTTCGACTTCATTAATGACATATTACCACGGTGGTTGGAGCTGGATGATAACAGATCATTCACGCTGGAGCGGGTGCACCGCACGCTAACATCAGGGAAGCCCAACCAAAACAGAGCCGTGCTTGTTCGCTTCCTAAAATTTCAGGAGGAGTTTGTTTATCAGAAAACAGAGGAAATTGTATTTGGTTTACCGTCTGATGCTCATAAAGCCCCTATTCTCATTCATGATGAAAAAATCAAGCAAGTGTCATCTTATAAATATCTGGGTATAATTATCTACCATCTGCTGTCCTGGAAAGATCAAATCGATTACATCTGTAAAAAGACAAAACAAAGAATTTATTTCCTCCGCCGTCTGAGATATTTTGGGGCAAGTCGACAGATTCTTGTTTTGTTTGTTACCTCTGTGATTCTAAGTGTACTACAGTATTGTAACACCTCATGGTATATGTGTCTGTCCACCACTCTGAAGTCTAAACTGCTCCAGCAGTTGAACATCTGCTCTAAGATTGTAGGCCAACCCATGCAAAGACTCTATGAACTGGCATACAACAAAAGCATTTTAAGACTGGGTAACTGCATCACTTCTGACCCTGACCACGCCCTGAACACAGAGTATGAACTATTACCATCAAACCGGAGATACAGGGTCCCACGTTTTAATAAGGTCAGACTGAAACACTCTTTTGTTCACCAATCAATCGTAAAATTGAATGTGGAGCTGAATCCTCGACCAAAGCAAGTTTAGGGTCTCTGGGTATTTGTTTGGCATTTGAGTGTTGTTTCAAATGTTTATATCTTGAGTGTTGTGTTGTGTTTGAGTGTTGTGTCAAATGTTTGTATCTTAATTTCCTGTATTAATTGTTGTGCCGCAAACGGAGCCGCTGGGACGCAAGGCAAATTTCAGACTACGTCTGACAATAAAGTATTATCTATCTTTCTATCTATCATCAAGCAAGGCGGCAGGAAATCACACACAAGGGGGCCAAGATAACGTTTGCACGTTCGTATAAGGCGAGAATTCAACCTGGTTTCAAAGCTGTTTGTTGACATTAATGCCTTCCGAGGATTTCATCACAACCCCTGTAAGCTCAGAGTCCTATATGGTGGTAAGATACATCTCTCCTGAACACCACAAGAATTAGAAAAGTTTTACCAAAACATCCCACGGGCAACAGCGGGCACCCGCGACCCGTGAATACTGAATGACGGTATCTACCACCACTACAAACTTTAAGGACTTTACAGTATAAATCGTTAACAAGAATGTACATAACTCCTGTCAAACTTCATCATATGTCTGCTAATTTTCCAGATGTTTGTACTAAATGTGTCAATGAAAAAGGTACTCCTATCCACTGTCTATGGGAATGTCCAAAGATTCAGGACTTTTGGAAAGATGTTTTAGCTTAGTCTGTAGGGACTTGGGTTGGGAATCGGAGGGTTCAAGTCCCGGCACGGACCAAGTCCGGAAATTGGCCTGGTAGCTGGAGAGGTGCCAGTCCACTTCCCGAGCACTGCCGAGGTTCCCTTGAGCAAGGCACCTAACCCCCCCACTGTGGGCAGCCCCCTCACTCTGAGACCTCTCCATTAGTGCATGTCCATAGGATCCTGTTTGTGCATGTGTGTGTATTTCGGCCTATGTTTGTGTAGCATGTTTACTAGACAGAGTGTAAAAACGAATTTCCCCTCGCGGGATCAATAAAGTATAAAATTATAATTATAAATTATGTTGTAAAATGTTTGTCAGAGGTTTTTAAAACAAAAATGTCTTTAAATGTCAAACTCTGTGTACTTGGAATATTTCTGGAGGACTTTACACAAACGCACATGTTGGAAAAGTATGGACGCTCCTACATTGAGAATGTGGATAAGGGAACTTTCAGAGTGTATTGGCTTGGAGAGACTAACGTACATTGCTAAAGGCAAACGGAGAGATTTTGTCCAGCTCTGGGAACCATATATGAACATTATAGAAGCCAGGAATATAGGCTTCACCTAAACAGAAATTGTAAAATTTATTTTATTTATTTTTGATCTAAAAATGTGTGCAAGTTGAGTGTGGGCATGTGAGTTTGTGTATTTTGTTGATACATGTATGGGTTTAAGGTCTGAAACTGTTTAACTGTTACTGTATGTTTCCTTTGTGTTTATAAAAATTGCCAATAAAAACACTAATCCCATCCAATAATACACAGAGCGTCTAAACACCACGCTGAAAACCAAATGACAGAAATGTACCTTCAACAGCCATCCGACTCTCAGCTGATTCTCCTCCTCCAGAGATGGTACACTTGTAGTGTCCTTCATCACATTTGGTAACGCCGTGGATTGTCATGTTTTCTGTAGAGCTTCTTCCAATAAGGCGTCCATCTTTGTAGAAATCAGCTGAGAGGTTGGGTGAGGTCGTCTTGTTTCTGCAGCGCAGAGTCACATCCTCTCCCTCCACCACACTGATGGGACTCTCCAGGATCACAGGACCAGCTGAACAACATAGGGTTCATATTTTATATCAAACAAAGATGAGTTCATGTAAAGATCTCGTCTTAATGCAAACATACCAGTAACAGTGATATAGATGATGTCGCTTGTCTTCCTATCTCCAGACTCACACCAGTATTGTCCATTTTCATCTAAATAAAGAGTTTTAATGGAGCAGGATGACCTTTTTGATGTCACTGGAGTTTCACATGTCTGTAATTCCCCTTTGGACCGATGTACAATTTTCAGTCCAGTCGAGCCGTAAGAGCCCTCACAATGAAAGGTCAGAGACTCATATTCAAAGAACTGTAGTCTGTTTGGTTCAGGACGGAGAATCAGTGAATCTGAAACAAATCAAAGAGAGACGAGTTCTCTTATCCCATACAAAATACCAAGATGCAGCCTTTGAATAATAAAACTGAAAAACTAAACGGTACATACCCACATCTTGAACATGTGCACACAGCAGGAATAACACACAGATCACTGGAAAGACAAAGAGTTGTCGGTTAGATCTCAGATAAAGAGGTTCGGAAATATCTATCAAACAGATAAAGAATCATACTCACACGGCCTGATGTTAAGAGCACTGACCGCCATGATGACTCTCCGAACTTATGACTGAAGCGTCCAGCAGGTGAGGAGGGGTCTCCTGCTTATATTTGGTGCTGATGCGATACATGGTTTGTGGTTAGGGTTGAATAATTTTACCACAGACAAGCTGATCAAGACCCTGAGGGGTTCATTTAAATGTTATAAGGCGGAGACAATGAACAGAGACAAACTGTCTGTGAGAGCAAACTGTGGTTTAAATGCAGATACTAGTTTAAACTGAAATAACACACACAGGCTCAGTGCCATAGCTTCATCTTTTTTCTAAGCGCTTCATCTTTCTAGAGCAGCACTTTAAGAGAGAACTCACACTTGGACATCTGTACCGTACATAAGCACATTTGGCCCCTATAGTCCTGTTTGTTTGACTAATGTGAGTGCTCGCTACACTTCCTCGGCCCTGGGTTAGTTTTAGGGTTAGTGTATGGTTAGGTTGGGGAAGCATAGACTCAATGACCCCTCCGCGAGTCAACTAAGAGCAGGCAGTTAGATAGGGATGCAAGGGGGTTACATGTTTGAAATTTGAATAACTCTTTATGGGAAGGTCGCACAGACTTGGAACCAAGATGTGCTCCCCCATTTACAGGCCCTGGCTTTCCATTGGTACCACCCATGAGTGTGTATGACGTCGGGAAGTGTTCAAACGGTGACTGGTTGAAGTGTTTTTGGCCATATCTCAGGAACGGAAGGTCCGTTGTGGAGTTATATGCCTAAACATGGGCCCATCTGAAATGAATGGGCTGAGCTGTGATGTGAAAAAGGAGCACGTTAGGAGCACGTTTCAGAGCATTTGGAGTCAATGGGTAACCAGTTTGTTGTGTCTCTTTTGTGAGTCGACTTGTGTAATTGCTGAGACTTGCAACACATCCCGAGTAGTTAGGTTTAGTAAAAGGGTGTGGGGTTAGGGTAGGGTTAGGTTAGGTAGGGGTACCCCTCTGGGGGACACTACGAGGGGCACGGGCACTCGGGGGACGATGGGTATTAAAACCTCCTTAAAAACCTCCTTAAAAACCTCCTTAAAAACCACACAACGGTGTTTCATAAAAGCCCTCTATGACAGTATTAAAATTTGGATAAAAAGGTGACCAGACCACTGTGCAGGAGAGGCAGGCGGAGCTCTATTGTTAATTAAAAGCCTCCGGTGTCCCAGGGCCTCTGTTAAACCATCTGAGGAGTGTCCAGGCTATGGCCATTGCTAAATAAATATATATAAATAACCTTAAAGAAAGTATAAAGACTAGATAAAAGAAAGAGTGCTCTGAATTCAAAGAATTAAAGCTGTCTAAAAAATGTATACATATATAAAGTGCTCAGAATAAATTAAAACACATCAAACAATAAAAGGAATAAAAAAGTTGCTAAAATAGTAAAAGTAAAACTCACACAACCGTCATAGTAAAATATATATATATGCAGTCACCTATTTAAAACAGCTAAAACCCATGATTCAATTCATAAAAGATCTTTATAAATAAATAAATATATAAAAAAATAAATTAAAGGATAAAAGTGCAATAAACCATCACCAGACACATCCAAGGCTTTTCTAAAAGAGCTTTATTAATAAAATAGTTTAAGAGAAGGACTCCCCCCGGACGGGAGCCCTCCTGATAAAAACCTGTAGGAGAGAGGCCCTGGGAGACCAGGAGTAAAGCATTTCTAATAAATACTGAAGCTATTTCATTAAAAGGGAGGAAATGGATCCACCCTAGTATTTTTCATTTAGACCGGTTGGATCTATAGTTTTTAGTAGATGGATTCATTTCCTCTCCGCCGCTCATCTCTGGACAGTGGTCCCTGTTGCTCTCCAGGCCCATGCTCTCAACATTGTGTTGGCCGTGGAGTTTAAAATGTGCATGACACTGGTACCATTCCCGCTGTTCATTTTGTAAAAGTGCTGCTTTATTCTGGCTGTTATGTCGTTCCTGATCTCACCCACATAGAGTCTGTGGCAGGCCTTACATCTGATAGCATAGACTGCATTAGTTGTACAAGGTTTCAAGGCCTGCCACGGGTTTGTGCCGACTGTGGCGTAGGTGTTAAAAATGTGGGGGAGACGGATAAAACCAATGTCCGAGCCTCGAGACGCTTCCCCATTCTGCTCATCTCTATTTAAGTTAGTGTGAACAAGAATTGTTTCTTGTTTGTTTTTGTTTCTGCGGTAGGCGGAGATCAGCCGACAGTCGCCCAGCACGTCACAGCCCTCCCTCGCCCCCTCAAAGTTGTTCTTGAGAGATGATTAAAAGGTCTTTAAATTCTCAGAGTAGGTGGTCACCATGGGGACAAGAGTAGGACTGGACGGCCGGGCGTTCGGGTTGTTGTACCTGTCGTTAAAGGTCCGGCTGACCTCCGCCCTGATGGTTCTGAGGAAGCGCCTCGAGTAACCCCTGGGTCTCAGCGCACTGAAGAGGGTGCTGGTGGCCTCCTCCACATGCTCCGGGAAGGTGCAGATTCCGTGGAAGCGTATCAGCTGGGATTTTATCAGGCCTCTGTACGTGTGCCTGGGGTGATAGCTCGTTTTATGGAGGAGTGCATGGCGGTCCCTGTCTTTGGAATATACTTTTGTGGCCAGTGTTTTGGACTGGAGGTACGGAAGAAGACACAGGTGTCCAAGAACTCGACTGCAGATGTTTGTGTGTTGTGTTTGAGTTTTATTTTAGGGTTGTGTGAGTTGAGAATGTCCAGAAATGTCAGAAAGTCCTGTTGTGTGCCCTCCCATAGGCCGAAGATGTCGTCCAGGTACCGGAAATACAGGAGGGGTTTGATGGGGAGTTTGGTGAAATCCGTTTCCTCACAGTGGGCCAGGTAGATATCGGCATCTCTCCGGCCCATCGCACAGCCGCACAGCTGGAGATAGTGCTGACTGTTGAACATGAAGTCGTTACGGGTGAGGGTGATCTGTAGTAGCTGTAAAATGTGGCTGTTGGGTCTGGGTGTTTATTGAGTATGTGTTGTGTTGTATGGCAGCTAGGCCGATTGGTGTTTCTATTTTAGTGTAAAGTGAATCTATATCTATGGAGAAGAGGAATGTGTGACCGGGTACCTGCAGGTGTTTTATTTTATTAACAAAATCGTAAGTGTCCTCGATGTAACTGGGGTGAAGTTTGACGAGTGGGTTGATAAAGTGGTCTATGTATTCTGTTATTGTGTAGGTTTCTGAATTGCAGTCACTGACGATGGGGCGGCCGACCGGAACAACAGAGGGGACCGTCCAGGTCTCAGGAGGCTTGTGGATCCTGGGGAGCAGAAAGAAGAGGCGTGGCCTGGGTTCACTGGGACCGTCCAAATATTGTTTTTGTTTTAAGTTGATGAAGTTTTGTCTGTAGAGTGTTTCTGTAATCTTTCTAACTAGTGTCTGTGTCTCTCTGTCGTGAGTGTGTCAGTGTTTTATAATATGTGCTGTTATTTAACTGTCTGTGTGCTTCTAAGATGTAATTGTCTCTATCCTGAATAACTCTTTGGCCCCCCTTATCTGCTGGCTTAATGACTATTTGTTTGTGATTACCCAATGTTCTGATGATGCGTTTATGTTCCTGACTAATGTGCGTTCTGTGTGGCAGGGGGCGCCAATGTGTGAGTGCAAGGTTGTTTTTATGGATGAGTTGAGAAATAGCAGGTGAAAGTGTGTCTGTGTTTGGTGACCAGTGGGACGGTCCAGTGAACGGCACAGGCTCCCGCCTCTGCTCCCCCTGGAAGTGATCCATTAACTTAAGCCTCCTGTGGAAGGTGTGTAGGTTCCTTCTGGGCTAAGGAGTGCTGATTAACTTTCAGACCACAGTAAATACAACACCTTGACCGAATATCATGGAATTTTAACCAAATAACACAAAAAAATAAATTACACACCACAGCTTTGTTGTATTACATATGTATTACCGGTACATTAATACAACAAACAGTCAAACCCTAATCCAGACAGTCTGGCAAGCATTTAAAGCTAATCAACCTTTGGTAGTTGGATCATTAGCTATTCATCATATAAAAACAACAAGCTGCTGAGGAAAGATGATTAGTTATCTAAGCTTAAAAATGTTGAGTTGAAACATATGGGAGATCCACAGAACATTCTTTTGACTAAGGAATTACTTTTGGCAAGGGCTCAGGCACAAGCTGATGCATAAAAAGTCTGCTTTTGCATTAAATTGAGAACAAAAAGGTAAGAAAATGTGAAAAAAATGCTTTCATAGCAACTGAAAGACTTGATCAGGAGGTTATTAATTTTAGCTTCAGAAGTTGTGTGCATCTCTGTATAACGCTGAATATAAGATGGAAAAACAAGTTAGACAATGTCTTCAATAATCCACCTTTGTCTAAGTTAAAAGAGGAAGATGAAGAAAAACTTGAGGCCCCTATCTCAGAGTTACAATGCAGACAGGCATCGTATCATTGTTGCCAAAACCTGTGGAAGACCATTTGAATGCAAACAACTACAGGCAGTTAAATTTGCTTTATAATGACTACAAAATGTTGGCACAAAGATTAACAAAACAAACACAAAAATAATAACAAAACAAACACATTTTCACTGGGATGGGGAGAATTATTTTAAGTTTCTTGAATTTGTGTTTGAAGGTTTTTCTGTCTTTAATTTTCCGGTTTATTACAGGAAAAAACATGTTTAATTATGTCAAATTACCTCCACAGATGTTGCCCAGAGACTGCCAGACAACAGAATATATTTAATGGGAGAGAAAATATCATGAATAGCATCGGTTTGAATTAGAAAATTGAGCTCCTCCCATTGAAACACATTGAATGAAACAGATGTAATAACTCACACAAAACCTTATTTTTATTAACAAAAAAGCCTGCAAGTTACAGTTTGATAATAAAACTTAATACTTTCAAGATCAGCCAACTCTCAGTATTACTGTTGATTGGACTGGAAATATTGATGCATGATGTCCAATTCATGATTTTTTTCAAAATCTCAAATCCATACTTGGACATTTTAAGATTATTGTACATTAGGTGTTACTTGATATAACAAAAAATATCACTTGCAGGACTCCTCTAGAATTACAGAATTTGCAAGATCCCTGAGCCACATGGCATTTATGATTTAGGCCAACTTGATTTACGGTGCACTCACACTAGGGCCTAGGTAATCCGTAGTGAAGCACATTTCACCCCTAAATTCCAGTTCGTTTGATTAGTGCGAGTACTCCAATCCTACACTTCTTGGCACGCTTGGAAGAGGCACGGTGCATCTGTATCTGTGTATCTGACTAAAATGATTCATAATAAGCCACAAAGTCAGTAAAGTGAATGTCATGTTCTCTGTGTTGCTCAGGCCAGGTTAGTCCTGGTGCAGTGTGAGTGCAGGCCAGCGGGGGAATGGGGAGGGGGGACAATTGTGATTAAGCACGGTACGGGACTACTTTGCCTAGTGTGAGTGCGCCCAAAGACGACATTTTTGGTACGCTTACAACTACTGGCCTGTGATTGGCAGTGTATATTATGACTTGCTAAAGTCCCTTGAGCTGGCTTATGTGAAACTATTCCATCAAAACCCATTGCATTTAGCAGAAAATGGCTTTTGTAAGTGGACATTATGCGTGAAAGGTTATAGTCTAAAGTCTTGTGATCTGTTTAACCATTAGGCTATATGATCTACATTGCCAAATGAGAGGGTGTACAGACCCACAAGTCGGTATGTTTGAGCTGTTATTTGTCTACTATCCATTTATTTCTATGGGAACAATTTTCCCAGTATTTGTGTGTGTGTGTGTGTGTGTGTGTGTATATAAAAGAGGAGGGAAATCTTTATTAGTTAAGAAAAAAAGTCATCAAATTTAATGTATTTTGTAAAGTAGAGCATACAGAACAGAAGATGGATTACAAATACAAATTTCCTAGAAGACATACTTTAGTCAGACACAGCCAAGAAGGTCAAATGTAACATCAATGCAACAAGTTTGAAATAATTTTATCCTGTTTTGCACATATTTGTTTCAATTAAATAGTTTAAAATCTGGATAACAACATAACTTCAGGCTTAGAGTGCCCCATTGTGGTGACCCAAATGACCTCTCCAAGCAGATAGCAGCAAGAGTGTTTTTTCCCCCGTCTTGTCTCCACAGTATTGGTACTTGGCTGTTGACTTCCCTCCAAACATTTTAATGTTCTTCTCTTTTGGGATGAATTCTGGTAAGACAAGAATATCTCCAGGTCTTGGAAATCACGTGTTGCTGATGTTGTTGGGCAAAATAGCTTTTCACTGCCTTTTGCTGGTAAGGATGGACCTCCAGTCATCATTCCAAGACAGCAATCGTCTCTGAGAGGAGCTGATGGAAAGATGCTTGTTGTGACAGGCAGTGAACAATATGTGTTCCCATGTTGGTTTGGGCTCCACACCTGATTAGGAGACATATGTACAACGTTACATAATTGACAAGCGTCTTTATTTCCTGTGTTTTAATAAGTGATCCACACTATTGATATTAAAAGAAAAATGAGTGATACAATGTTTTAATTAAGAATCTTCAAGATCTTCAACCAGTCCAGTTGCCTTTGGATCAAGCTCTGAAATGACCATGACCTGGATGACTGGGAACCTACACAGACAAGCTGCAATTGTGTTCAGGCATAGCACAGCGCCCCTTAGTGAACATTTATATAAAGGCATATTAATGGACATGTAGTTTCACTTTCAGTTGGTACCTTAATTAGGCAGTGCACCATGTGCTCCCACATGTTCCTGAGTTGTGACTGCCTGCTGACCTTTAACTTTCAGCGTGTTGACTGTGCGTGAAGCTAATGTAAGTCACTTGTTCATTTATTTCAGTTTTATTCTGTAAATAGAATATTTACTTGTACCAGATTACTTGGACATACATTTTGTTATGATTCATATACCATTGGTATTCATTTGTATATACTCTCTCGGAACCACACACGTAAAGAGGACTGGACTGTAACTATCTTTTATTATTAAACTGTTTCAAGTGAAGGACAATTCTTATGTTTTTACCAGACATGCTGTAGTGGGTGTCTGTCAGCATCTGGGCAAATGTTATCATATCTAAAGTTTACACTCCAAAACAGTGATCTTGAGTTAAAAACTGTTTACAAATACTAGAATACTATAGAAAGTTACAACCCGGTCTTACTCACTGCGACTGACAGGTAAACTAGGAATAACAAGCAATCTTTTGATAATGTATTGGGGATTGAACAACATGGTTACATCGATAGTAGTATGTACAGTAAGTATCTTTTGTGTTTTGTTTTCCAGAAAATCTGTATGGTGTTTGGGCCTGTTTCCATTGATGGCGCTTTTTGGTGCTGGAAGCGCCGACCACCTCGCTTTCAGAGCGCTTCTAACTAGCGCATGTTCAGCTTCCCACAGTAGTGGCCGATACGTTGGTTTTAACTGAACTGTGTGCTTGATAATTGTTTTTACTTAAGGAAATATCACCAAGAAAACATGAAGTGGGGCGCGCTGGTGGCGCAATGGTTAGTGCGCGCGCCCCATGTATTAAGGCTGTCGTCTGGAGTGGGAGGCCCGGGTTCGCCTCCACCCATGGCCTCTTTCCGCATGTCATTCCCCGCTCTCTCTCCCTGGTTTCCGACTCTATCCACTGTCTCAACATTAAAGGCACAAAAAGCCCAAAAATAAATCTTTAAAAAAAAAAAAAGAGAACATGAAGTAATGTCCATTGTTTAGACACATTTTGTCTTTAGGGAAGACGACGCCGAAGTCAAATGTAAACAGTGCAGAAAAACGGTTTGCAAGAAATGCAAGTTATTTATTTTCTACTGTTTTATAGAAGTTCATTTCTACTTTAAAACTAAAATGTGTTGTTTTCAGTTCAAAATATTCAATAAATAACCAGAAAATAGTTAATCAGATGTGCACTCTTTCATTAGAAACAATAATCCATTCCACAAGAAGTGATCCAACCATTATTATTGATTTCAAAGAGGGTTTTTATATCTGCTCTCATTTGTGATTTCAATAGTGACATATTAAGTATGTCTGATTTAAGCCTCCATAGTGTTTTTCCTTGTCCTCCAGACTGGCTGCGCGGGTATGATGTTGACTGGAAGTCCATGCAAAGCCATGTCTTCTGTTGCTTCAGCTGCACTCTGATACAGAGGGGTACCACTGTAGAAAACCCTTAGGTTGCACTCACAATAAGCCATTCGAACCCTGCATAAGCACACTTCACCCCCAAAGTCCAATTTTTTTGAGCGAGTGCTCCGCTCTGTGCTCAAGCATGGTACACTTCCTTGGAGGAGGTGTGCTTCTGCACGGTACAAGCACAAGCACCAGTACACAATGTGGGACAGCTTTCATTTTCGAGAAATCTGAGTGTTATAGCTGTATCTGACTAAAATGACTCAAAATAAGCCACAAGGTCCGTAAGGTAGCTGTCATTTTCTCTGTGTTGTTGTCCGATGTACGGATGCGGACTCGACCACGCATCCTTTTTATTTTTTTAAACTTTTTATTTTCGAGTTCGTCTGTCTTGTAAAATGAGCACATTTCATAATTACATAAAGCCATGCATGTATTCATCAAGTACAAGAGGCCCCGTTAGTCCTGGAGCAGTGTGCGTGCAGGCCAGTGGGGGTATGGGGAGGGGGGAAAATTGTGCTTAAGCACGGTTACGAGAGAACTTTGCCTAGTGCGAGTGCGCCCTTTGTTTCGCTGGAAAGTAATTCTGAGACTTCACCTTCATTTCCTTTAACAATTTCAAGCTTCAGCATATTCAGCACGTTGTTTGAGTATTGTAGATGGCTAATACTGGTTCACACAGCAGGCACCGTTTGCCTTCTGCTTCTTCGTGTTTGATTTGGATGTTTCCTCTGTGAGCCTCGGTCAAGCAACTTAGCTTCCATGTTAGCAGTTTTATCATTGTGGCCTGCAATGCTGATTCTGCTTCTTCAATCAGTTCCGAGAGCTACTTCAGATAGAGTTACCTTGTGTCCCCCATTCATCAATGTTTTCAGTCGAAGACGTGGTTTTCCTACTTCTTGTTGCAACTCTGTATCCAACGCACTTTTTGTATTATGTGAGATATTTTCAGGGTTATTTTGTAAACCTGTTGGAGAGCACCAATATGAAGCTGCCATCTTGAACGTGTCCCGGAAGTCCTCCCACTTTCAGATATTCTGATAAGAAAAAATACTGTTTGCACACATTCCAAAAAACGTGTATTTCTTACCGAGAATATCAGGCTTGTCGTCTATAAGGATGTCTCCAGTGATTAATGTCTTGTCTCTAGTCAGGATCACCCGCTCAAGAAAGTCATGGCCCAAATACTTCTCCACCCAGGCATACTGGAGACAAACAAACATACACACAAACAAAAATAAAATGGTGAGATGTCAATAGAGAGGTTACATAATAAAACCCCATTGCCTGAGTTGGGACGTGCTGAAATGAACACCTGATGAAACATCACATCGCTAACTGGCAACACATTGAGTCTCTCTAAGGGCACAGTCACACTGGCAGTCTGTACCGTGCCGTACTCAAGCACGATTGGCCCCCAGCTGCGTCATTCCGACGCTGGTCGGCACGCGGTCGCGGTCACGGTCACACTGCACCAGGACCAACCGTGACTAAGCACGATTACCTCTTGTTCACGTTGTAATACAGCACACGCACGCTTTGTGTTATTATGAAGCGTGCTCAGTTTACAAACAGGCGGACTCGAGAAAAAAAAAAAGGGACTCGCAGTCGATTCCGCATCTGCACATCAGAGAAAAACACAGAACATGACAGCTACTTTGTGGCTTATATTGAGTCATGTTAGTCAGATACAGCCATGAAACTCCGGATTTCTCCATGATGAAGGTTGTCAGTGTTGTTTATCCGCGTGCTCGTGCTCGTGCATGAGGTGGAGCGGTCACACTGGCCAAACAAACTGGACTTTAGGGTTGAAGCGTGCTTAGACACGGTACGGATTGCCAATGTGACCGCGCCCTACAGTAAAGGTGAAGAGGGGTTCACTGTGTGAAAGACTGCGCTGGTAAATAGTGAAACACTTCAAGATTGAATCTGGGTATTTCATCATCTAATGTACATACTATCATTAAAAGATTCAGCGAGCCTGAAGAAAAAAGTAAATGTAGATCGCCAGATCAACCATCTCTCTCCCTCCCTGCTATCAATATATATCCAGATCCAGATCATCTAATTGAATCTAAATCATATATCGATTTGGATCATCAAAACAAAATCCAAATCAGTGTCGTGAAAAAAGGTTGTATTGGTCTACCCCCATCCATATTTATTTGCATCATAGGAGCAGCAGACTTCTGTTTATGTCATCATTTTCAAAGGTGGCAGTTGAACCAAAGCTGTAAACGTTCAAGATCTTTAAAAGAAGTTCGTGGAAAATGTAAACTTCTTCAGGTAAGAGGCCCAGCCAAAATGTAAAAAGAGCATAGTCTGATTAATGACCCACTCCGTTCATACGCACAAAGTTATCTCCAAATTGATTTCTGGAGCCCGCTCAGGGCTTGCGCCGTAAAGCAGTTGGTAACTGCTGTATGTGTTGCAAAAAGCTACGGAAAAATGTCATAATGCAATTAAGGTGCTTACATGCATCTACAATAATGCGATTAAAGATCAGCATACTCCACATGTCTTAATTCAATTATGGCTTACTCTCTCTTACTCTGGTTATTATTGTAATATTGCTGTCCATGTAAAAGTGGCTAATGGTACAGTCTAGATTATAGTACTGGGTATATTCTGATTTTTCCCCTCCCAGCCTCGTACACACTTGTCCAAAATTGACCCCCAAGCTCATTAACACATGCAATATGAACAGTATGCATCCACACGTGATTGAAAATATTCTAAAAGACTGGTTATTAATATGACAATTTAATATAAGCATCATAACAGCTAAAGACATTCGGCTAAGGAGTTTTATTGTTTGTTTCATTTCCCACAACATCCCAACTTTAAGAGTTAGAAATGTACTAATATGATTTGAATCACCCAACCCACCTACTGATCATTAAGGACATGCTTTTGTTTTTAACTGAAAAACTTTTCTACAAATAGGAAGCACATAAATATGATTCCCATATTATGGGGGCTGTGGCTCAATTAGTAGAGTCTTCGCCTCTCAACTGGAAGGTCGAGGGTTCGATCTCATCTTGCAAGAGTCCCTTACATATCTAATACGCTCACAGTGCGAGTACTCATAAAGAGCTGAACGTGGTATCTCAAAGTCAAGGATGTTTGGAATGGAGAACTCTTATTTACGTTTTACACTCTATTTGTCCCAACATTTAAGGAAGAAGGGGTGTAATGTTGAATGTTAGAGTGCTTACCTTCTCATACGGGCAGTTTTTGTAATGTTTGATTGGGCTTGTACAAATAAAGACATCTGTACTGTGGAGAGACAGAGACACAACAAAACCTTAGTTAAAAAAAACATACCAGCAGACACATTCTTTATAACTAGAATTAATGACCATCTACAGGAGGTGGGCTTTCTGGTGGGGCTGGGAAATATATCGAGTTTTTAAGCTGAATCGATATATTTTCAAACAAGATATAGGGTAAGACAATACCGTTAATATCGATATAGTTTATGTTAAAATAACGTTATAGAGCTGCCAGTTCACCTTTTTCTCATCTCACTGATGATGACTGTCTGTCCCTCTTAACCCTGCCCCTCCTCTTATTGTATTTAAGGACAATTTTATTTATTATTTTTAAATTCACAAACAGTTTATTTTCCATGTGTTTACACTGTTGGTGTCGGTGTGTGACTGGATTAGTGTTGTACTCACTCTCTGATGTACGTCGCTTTAGATAAAAGCGTCTGCTAAGTGAATTGTAAACATTGTAACATTTACTGAACCCCAGGGATCAGTTTTAGAAGAGTCTCAAAAATCAAGGACAAGCTAGTAAGAAGTTACTTTCCTGCTCCTATAGTAGACAGTTGGCTTCAGCGACCTAAAGGTCATTTTGGTTGTGGTAAATGTACATACTGATACTAATTTTGTGCATATTGAATTCATGATCAACATCTGCTGTCCCATTACAGTGTTTATTTTGACATTGTGAGTTTCACTTGAATACACTTTATTGATTATGTTTTCCTGGTAAATGATAGTTCTTCTTTGTATTTTTACTTGGATTTGATGTGTTTTTTTTCCTTGTGATGCCTCTTAAGAGTATTTTAATGATTTGTAGCCCTGTGAATTAAAGGCATTTTATTTTTTCCAACCACCCTGAGTGCCTGGACCTGAAATATTTATACTTTTGTTTTTTGGTCTTAAGTTTTCCTCCACTTTTTTAAAACTTATAATAAAATCTACCTAATATAAATCTGACAAAACATGGTAATTAGTGAAACAACAGGTCACCACCCTCTATCAGTTACAATCAATATGTTAACATCACATGCTGTGACTGTATCAGCAGCAGCCAAATCAGCTTGCAAATTATATGAGGGAACTACATCATCAAGACTTACTTATCCATCTTGGCAATCTCCTTGATCGCCTCTACTCCTCCTGGTAGAGGGTCCAGCTCAATGAAGAAGTCCTTAGACTCCCAGATACTAGTGGCTTTTTCCTTAGGTTATAAAAAAACCCCACAAAGCACATAAGTCTTATACACACACCTTATAGATGTCCACTGATATAATATGTGCTTTTATTCATGCGAAACTTTTTCAGGGTCAGCATGACACTTGTTGTCCAAAGGAATAGTAAAAGCTGCAATTTAACAGTGTACTGTTATTTCAAAGATAACAAAGCAGGAACTGCTCTGTTATCAAATTATTAATCAATATAAAAAAGTATGATTACACTTTTGTTTAAATCCTACACCTAAACTTTACAAGTTTCAGACCTGTAAACACTCAATCTTACACATCTCCAATGGATACACTGAAGTTAATTCAAAAATTAAACAATTTTACATGCACTGATAAAACTTCTCATGGGCCTCTTGCACTCAGGAGGGTTAAAAGTTGAATTTCCGTATGGGTTGTTATTGAGTACACACGTAATCTCTGCACATCACTCACACACAGGTCGCTCCTCAGCCGCCCATACTGCGTCGACACCCAAAAACCCCTTCTGTCATCCAGGGTGATAAAGGGCTCTTCTGGGTATCTGCTCCGGTACTTTCTCAAGAACCCTCCCTCGAAGTCTGCTAGGACACCGTCCATGTCTACCAAAACACGCAGCGCCTTACCCGAGGCAGAAGAAGACATTTTAAGGCAAATCCTATGTAGCATGTAACGAAGCGAAGTTTCCCCTCTTCCGGACTGACGTGTTGCACTTGATAGCAGAAACATAATGACGAACCAAACCACGAGTAGAAATAGTTAATTAATTCGGCATAGGCTATACTTTAGTTTACCGTGTCATAAACCTTTTGCTTTATTGTAATTATTTATGTCCGCCAGCTGGAGGTAAGCTGAAGGACGGTAGCAAACTTTAGCTCAGGCTATCTGCACAGCAGCGGGCAGGTCAAACATGAAATGCCTCTAGCCACAGAAAACTGGAGCTGTTTGCACAGTTTGTCAGCATGTACTGCAGCCATCTCAAGAATATATTATTCTTAAAGCACTGCATCTGTTGTATGTGTTGGTGCAACCTTAACTAAAACGACCTAGAAGTTTACAAAACAAGCACTGCAGCGTCGAGGCGAGAAGATCTTTGCACAGAAGACGCACTGATGCTGCATTCAAGTGCTCCTCGGAAGGTCCCAGTTTCCGAGTTGTGAAGTTGGTCTTCCGACTTCACTGTGTTCACACGAAAATATAGACTGTTGTAACAACTACAAAAAAAATCGTGGATGCTACGAAGAAGACGTGTGAATGTTATGAGCTATATTTTAGCAAAACGTTTATGTGCAATATGTGAATTTATTAAAAGGGTCTTAGCATTAGCGAAACACATTTTGCCCCCCATGTGATGACGAATGTGATTTAAAGTTGACAAGTCGGGCACCTAATTGTTTTCCCGAGTGTCCGAGTTGTTGTTCCGACTAGAGCGGGCGTTCATGTGCATTTTACAACTCGTTTTCCCGATGTGTCCGATAGCACTTGAATGCAACAGAACTGTACTGCCTGCTGCTCGCTGCAAAGATATTGCAGGTGAACGAGATGATTCACTCCTCCCATGTTTTTAATGAGACCAATGTTGACTTGCCACAGTTTAACAATATTTGTTTTGTTATTATTATTATTATTATTATTATTATTATTATTATTATTATAACAAGTAGGAGTGGTAGTGGCAGTAGTAATGGTGAAAGTAAATGGCTTTAATGGTTGGTATATTTAAGGCACATTGTATTATTTCTGTCCAAATGTAAATAACCAATTCTAAATGAATATGGAATTTGTATAACTTATTTAATATATTATAATTCTCTATTTTCAGAAGTTATTACATTGAATGAAAATGAATGTATTGAAATTGTGTCAAATAAGAAAATAAACTTCAGTTTCCCTTGCTTATCAATATTTATTGCAACTCATTTAATATTTATTTGCTTTCAGTCTTAAACTACGTACATTACACTATTTACTATACTCTACAATACAGTAGCTCTCTAACAGAAACAAAAGTTTATAAAAGCGGAAAAACAAGGCTGCTATATGCTGCCATACCAAGTCAAGAAACATTTATATTTTACTCAAACACTGTTAGAGTTAGACTGAAAAAGAGGAAACATATTAACAGTGTAAAAAAAAAAGTGTGTCGAAAAGAGTGCTAAAAGAATATAATTTACAAGTTTAATCGAAAATGCATGATTTAAATTTAGTTGTAACTCTTTTCCAAAACAAGAAACGTAGGTGTCCAGTCTATTATCAGTGGTCTTTTAATTCAATTTAGAAATGAGCTCCTTACAGTCTATGGCTCCTACATCTACCAACATCTTTGTTCAATACCAAATTAAACACCGAATACGTTTCTGCGTAAAGAGGAAACTAGCAGCAGTTTGAAAATAGATAACTATTGAACTCATTATGCTTATTTTATGACAAAAAATAATTTATTGTATAATATATATATACATATATATGTATGTATGTATGTATGTGTGTATATATGTATACATGTATACACACACACATATATATGTATATATACATATTCATGTGTGTTCATATTGTATATACATATATATGTATGTATATAGTATATATTTATTTATGTACGGTATAGTATTTTTCAAAGTGAAGCTAAATGTCAGCAAATAGTGTGACTGGCTCTTTAAGAGTTCAGTGGTTGATTCGTAAATGTCGTTGCAGTCGTTCTTGTATTATAATCTCGCGATATCTTCACCTCAGTGGCGGCTGTGTGGCCCGTTGCCCCTTGTTTAATCCGGACAGAGTTGTCGATGACGTTTGAATGAAAAACAGTGCACATTTTCTCCACTTCGGACCCAGGAAATAATGGCTTCTGCATTGGAGCAGTTTGTGAACAATGTGCGGCAGCTCTCCGCTCAAGGTATGGTTTCTGAATGTGTTAGAATGAGAAGTATTAGCGTGTTAGCTATCACATGCTATCTACTGCCCTGCCGATCGCTCAGCAGCCAGAGCCCTCTTTTTGCTTTATCATGTAAACATGACGCAAAAATGACAGTCTCTGCCGATAGAGTTTCTAAAGTACCACAAGAATGTACATCAGTTTTCGGAGATTCCAGTGTTGACTGCGAACTTGTTAGCTCTTACATGATTACGTTAAAAACACACTTTTTGTTTTTGGAGTAGAAAAATAATTTCTGGGGATCGACTACCGGTAGTTCCGCCTCGTCCCCAAATGATTGGCTGGCGGACGGAACCCGTGCACGCTATTGGTTTAAGTCATCTGTCAATCCCATTTGCAATAGCTCTTCTGCAAGGCCTCGATATAACACTTGATCGGCTGATTTAAATTGATATACACATCCAGAGCTGGCTGTTAATGAACAATTTTGTACGCCTGTTTGTTTATGTACATTTGTGCACATTGGCCTCTTGTTTGTCATGGACAGGACCATTTTTTTTTTTTTTTTGACAAATTTAACCATTGGAAAAATATTTATTCATTTACTTATTGATATTGAGGGATTGTTATTATAAGAATTTTAATTTGTTTTTATGCATTTTCTTTTTACAATAGTACAGGCACGCCTGTGTATGTGTCTGTATCTTTCTATACAAGAACTTAATGGTATGCTAGAAGGTCTAAAAGAACTTTCTCTCTGTGCTCCTGGTCCTCAAACACCCAGGTCAGATGACTCAGCTGTGTGAGTTGATCAACAAGAGTGGGGAGCTGCTTGCCAAAAATCTGTCCCACCTGGATACGGTGCTAGGGGCATTGGACATCCAGGAGCACTCTCTGGGAGTGCTGGCTGTGCTGTAAGTAGACTTTTTCAAAATTGGTAGGTGTATTTCTTACACCTTTACATTTAACTTCAATGTATCCATTGAAGATGTGTAAGAAATACACCTACCAATTTTGCAATTTCCTTTTTGTCCCACATAGTCCCCAACTAGTTCTCCTTGTTTCTTTGCAAGGTGTTTTCTATATCACATTTATTTTTTTTTTGGTTTTTTTCAGATTTGTGAAGTTCTCCATGCCAAACATCCCTGACTTTGAGACGCTTTTCTCCCAAGTTCAGCTCTTCATCAGCACTTGCAATGGGGAGCACATAAGATATGCAACAGACACTTGTAAGTCAAGATTCTGATAAGTCCTCTGCTTCTGAGTGTTTTTGAATCATGTCTGTCGTGGCTACTTGTTGTTCTGAAGATTTTTCAGTCACAAACAACAGATCTCTGCAGTGATCAGTATTAGGGTTGGGTGATGCTCACCCCAACAACCCCACAGAATGTGATGATTAGCAAAACATTAAAACCTGTTTCATTGAAAAGAGCAGAAAGACAACATATCAAACAGCAATGGAAAGCATGGTGTATAGCATAACAACTGCAATTGAATATTATTATTAGCCCTTTTCAGACTGCTCTTTATGCAAAAGTGCGAGCTCAGCCTTCATTGCGTGATTGTTGCTGGTATGGCTATATCAGTGTGACATTACTGGCCTAAAGCCTTCCGGTTGAAAGATAACCGACTCTACCACTGAGCCACAGCTGTCCCACAGATCATATTATGTTGGCACTGAAAAATATTAAGCAGTGGATTATGTTGGCCTGCAGCGTACTTTATCAGAATTGAGAAAATGGCAGAGATATCGGAAATGTTGTAAATAAGGAAAATACAACGCTATCCAGTCGTCCAATCAAAGGGTTGCACCTGCGTCATTTCAATACACTGAAGTTTAATTGGCCCGTCCACAACCTAAACATCACACAAAAGGCCTTTGAAACAGCCTTCAATTTACTGAAACAACAATTAAAATCTTTACAAGGGCCTCTCATTCCTATGCCTGCTGTGCAGTGTATAATGCCCTTCATATGTCAGCTGTTTGGGGTCAGAAAATACCATGGACATGACACACTGAACCCAAAATTCACTTTGAGGAAGATATCAAAGTCAGTTAGTGCTTGCTTGTGCTTTTCCAGAAGGCTCAAAGGGAGTTTCCTGGTCATGATGTAGCTCACACTGTGTTCTGTGGAGGAATGCAGCTTTTCATTTGTGTAATTTTAATGTGTACTCATCATCGCTGACCAGAACATCTGATCTGATACTGTGTGCATGCTCAATAATTGAAGGCTGTGGTGCAGTTTAAAACATAGCTCCAAAAGAAATGGCTGTTGAAGTCCAGGTCAAGTGATGAAAATATCCACAAAAACAGTCTTCTGTTAGGGTATGTATGGATTTCAAAACACTGTTAATCAGGAAGTTACCTGCAATCTGGGAGATTTTAAGAACCAAAAAAAAATCACAGTCCAGAAAATTCTCTTTGAGCTCAGCTTTACTTTAAATCATTATCAAAATACATTGATAAAATGACAGCTAACAAAACAGAATAAAATCTCAATTAACAAAGGGATTGTGAGGACTTAATAATAGCTCTAAAAAGTTCTTGGTAAAACCCACATTGCTACTAGTAGGGGCGTAATTACAGACTATTAACCAAATAAAAACATTACAAATATCACACTTCAAAACATGCATTTACTTAAGAAAATATAATTTTTTTTTGTAGTTTTTCCCCCTAGAATTAGTTTGGATGTGTTCTGCACATCCATCTGAACAAGATAATCATCTAACATTTCATTTCCTTTCTGTTTCTTCTTGCAGTTGCTGGTCTCTGTCACCAGTTGACAAACGCCCTTGTAGAACGTAAACAGGTAAGACTGCTGATGCTGAGGGTTGTTGGTTTGAAAGGAAATTTTACCCCAAATTAATATTTTTCTTGATTAATTAATGAATTTGATGAATAAGTGTAGAGATTTCTTTGTAGTACCCAGTTAGTGTAAAATAAATTTAAATATAATGATAGATAATTTAATTTATAAATAGGTAATATTACCCCATCATGACCCATGATGAGCAAAGAGAGAGTCTATATTTGATGTAGCTTTTAAATGGGATGTTTACACATGCTCTGGCAGCCTTGGAAAACTAGTACATTTAATTCAGATTTTTAATTTTGATGAAAAGTGAGTTGCCCAATAAGCACACCATTGAGATTCAGCATCAAAGATTAGCATGCTATCCTTGTCCTCCTTGATTTAAAGATTTTGATGTTGTTTAAACTGCTCTACAGGCTGATGTGTTTGATTATCTCTGAAGCTGCCACTGAGTACAACTTTTGTTTTTTCCTTCTCCGACAGCCATTGAGGGGTGTTGTTGTCCTAAAACAGGCAATAGACAAAATGCAGATGAACACAAACCAACTTACCTCAGTTCATGCAGACCTGTGTCAGGTAAGTAACCCCCCCCCCCCCATATAGAATCCCCATGCTGAATGCCGTCATGATTGAGTTTGAATTTTATTTTTCTTCCAGAGATTGTAATGCTTTTAGCTTCTCCATTTGTTATCAATGCCAAAGTTACCCCTAAATGTTTTTGATTCCCTCTTAAAACAATAGTTTACTCTGTTTGTGATGCGTCTTTAGTAATTCAAACACAGGCTTTCTCTAAGCAATATCTTTTCCAAGACTGTCCAGTGTAACTCTCTGAGTCATGTATACCTTTTTTTTTCTTCTAGCTGTGCTTGTTAGCGAAGTGCTTTAAGCCCGCCCCTGCCCTTCTTGGAGTTGGACATGATGGACATTTGCAAAGAGAATGGAGCTTACGACGCAAAGCACTTTTTATGCTACTACTACTATGGTGGACTGATCTACACCGGACTCAAAAACTTTGAAAGAGCACTGTATTTTTATGAACAGGTACTTCAACACATCTTAAAGGGTTACAAACTTTCCTTAAGAATCAGTTGCTAATATGACCAATAACCTTTTCAGTGTTTGTCACTTTTACTTCTCTTGCCCTGATTTCTTTTTTCTTTCGTCAGGCCATAACCACTCCAGCTATGGCTGTGAGCCACATCATGTTGGAAGCCTACAAGAAATACATCTTGGTGTCACTCATTCTCCATGGCAAAGTGCAGCCACTGCCTAAATACACCTCACAAATAGTAGGAAGGTTCATCAAGGTACGAAACATTTCTATGGAATTATTGCATTTTTGTTGTTGTAACTGTTTAAAATGTTTTTTAAATGTTCGGTCATTACGGAGAAGTTTGTGGTGCTGTTGTTTAATGTGATATAGTAACAGGTCATTAATTGAGTTTAGGTTTCAATAGAGCCACAAACTGCAGGATCCAAAATGATAAGCTCTCTTTAACAGTTTGAACAAAAATGTATATTAACTTCTTCAAAGCAGGTTGTATTGTACTGTTGTGCTTTGTCAGCATTGTTTTAAGGTAAGTGTGCTTAATAATATTCATCCTGACAGTGTTGACACTCCAGCAGGCAGTTGTGAATATTTGGTTCAGTCAGTCAAGTTTTATTGGTTTCATGCAATCATATGAGGTACAATCATGGTGAAATGTAATATCAGGCCAGATTTATTTTTCTGTTGTAGCTGGGTATGACATTTTTTAGACTGTAAACTTTGCAGAAATAAGATTTAACGAAAACCGGCTGTACATTTATTTATTTATTTTTTATTATTATTTTTTTTTTTTACAACCTTTGGCAAAATTGTGTGTTTTACTTTCAAGATAGATAATGTACAGGACATTGGATAGCCTGGTGGTTATAATATAGTCCTCTAAGGCCCATGTCCACCTAGCGCTAGCATCTTTTTTCAGTTAAAAAAAAAACGTTTTTCTGTAAAATGCTCCATGCACCTCACCATCTTAACTGTTAGTATTTCAGTCTAATCTAACTTGGTATGTGAATTTTTAACAATGCATATTTGATATTAAAAAAGTATCAATACTTGGCGACTATTAGACGATATAATATCGCGATACCATGCTGTATACATTTTTTCCCCCACCTCTAACAGACACTGATCATAAGTTCTGTTGTTAGCAAGATATTTTTCAATATGATTATAGAGCGTTTCCACAGGAGTGGCAATTTTCATTTTGCTATAGCAAAATTCTGTAAATAAACTATGATCAATAGACTTCAGTAACTCAATGTTCATGTTGCACACATTTCTTAAACCAGTATATACAGTTTTGCTGTTGGTCGTTGGTCGTTCCATTAATTTTTATTTTTTCCCCCGCTGTTCTGTCTCTTTTTCTGTTTTTATTGTTTAGCCCCTGAGCAACGCATACCATGAGTTATCTCAGGTTTACACCACCAACAACCCAGCTGAACTGCGCAACCTGGTCAATAAACACAGCGAAACCTTCACAAGAGACAACAACACAGGCCTAGTCAAACAATGCCTCTCTTCCCTCTACAAGAAGAACATCCAGAGGTTAACAAAGGTGGGTGTGTCTGCCTGTCTGTTCGTTGTTTTCTTGTATGTTTCTAGGTTCCAAATTAGAAGCAGGTACCAAATTGAATTGGTTGACAGATAAGATGAAATGTTTGTGAATAATTTTTCATTTTCATCTGCTTCTCATTTGCTACAAAAACTTCACTACTGCTGCACTACAGATCAGCACAGAGTGGACAACCTATTACAAATTACCTGACTATCAGTTTGAATGAGTGTGATTCAATTTTCATGACCTAGCGTTACTCTCAGTTAACCTACTCAGCTGTTGCTTTGTTACACAACTAGTATGTGAATAATGTTAGCAAAAAGGGTGCCTTTGTCTAGAAACAAGCATTTTTACTTAGAAAATGCCTTGCTAGAAACAAGCGCTAGATTGGACTTCTCATTTGTCACAATAATCTAGCATTAGTACACACTAGCGTATTCAAGAAACCTGAAAAATCGTTATCGGAAATAATTACTTTATGCAAGATCTCAGTTTATATTAAAAAACATTAGTTCTTTTAGGCTGTTGGTGTGCTAACCTTGTAAAAATGCAAAATACCACATATGATTTGACACATGAGTTTGTTTACCTTGGTAGATAGAGGGAAAGTACTTAGATCATCTACTCACAGGAAGTGAAAGTTTTAATACCAAACTATACAGATGAAGCCACCAAAAACTTCCCTTCCATGCCAGCCCTCAGGTTTGTTTTCTGCAGACAGTCTGAGGGAGCTGATGTGAGAACACAGCAGGATATTATCAGGAGAATTCACCTCAGCGAGTGGGAGTGGGAGTGGGTGGTGACGTTTATTTCCTGTGATCGTTGCATGACCATAGACTGTCTGTACTGTACCTTCAATACACAATGAATGGGGCTGCATTTATTACTGCATCAGGTTGCAGTGCAAGTGGCTGCTGCACCCGCAGTAATGACGGTGCGTTTCACCATTTTATACTGATATATTGGTCTAACCGGTGTATAAGACGCAGCCAACTTTTAAGACGAAAAAATAGATATTAAAGTCTTATACACTGGATTAAACGGCTGCATTACATTTTCCGTTCATCAGTATATTCTTCTCCCACACGCGCCACAGCCATTAAGTCACTTTATTAACTTTCACTCATCGGAGTCGATAACATGCTCTGGGATAATCTGCTGTTTGATATAGTTTCTTTTTTTATTAATGTTTTATTACTATGTGATGTTTTAATTGTGACCTGTAGAGGTACTGCAGATGTAAACTAGCTCTAAGATAACTCTGGTACAATGCATCAAATGGCAACATTTATGTTGAATATTGTACATGGTCCCTTTACAAATAAAAAGATATATATTTTCAACAAATAAAAACACTGCAGATTTCTGGTACAGGGGCAGGAGGATTTGCAAATGACACAATGTGAAATATTATAAAACACCAACAAAAATGCAGTCATGTCAAGCATAACACTGGCATGATGTTCATTTGAAGGATAGGTGTAAAGCTCCTGTGAGGAGTGTTAAGCTTGTTATAAAATGGACTGATAACAACACTGATGACCCTATAAGAGCTACAAAAGAATACTGCCCGTATAACTATCTGTATTGCCTGTAAGCGTTGCCATTGGCTTGGTGTCAGACTAGGCAATTACAGCACAATCCCAAATCAGCCTCTAATCTAACATTCTCCAGGTATTTACTGTGACTGAAACATTTGACTGTATATATATTTGACAGCAGGATGAGACTTTTGGTCAGTAAAAATAACGGAATATGTACGAGACAATATGAATAAAGATATAAAGGGAACTGCTTTGTCCACCCGTTTTTTTAAGTAAGTCACATAATGAAAGTTCCTCACAGTGGCTTTAAACATTGTTTTCCGGGGATGTTTAACCAATATCAGAAATACTGGCTAAATTGGGACTTGAGACTGACCAGTGGTTCAGAGCAAGTTTAAAGAACACTGAAAAATGAACCGGTTTACTTAGGTTGTGTTTATTTTAGTATATCTGACTTTTTAAAATAATGATCATGAACCTATGCAAACCGTGCTGCATTATCAAAATGACAGATGACAACAAAATGACAATACATGAATGTCAACTTCCAAGAACCATATGTAGTTGAGCTTTGTGCATCTTAATTGACCAATTTGAAATATCCAACTGGGTTGATCGAATGAAAAGTAACAATTGATGAGGTTTCAGTCATTGAACCTGGTATTCTTTTTGTGTAAATGCTCTAAGTGCAAGTTTCTCTTTCTGTCTGCTGCAGACCTTCCTGACGCTGTCTTTGCAAGACATGGCCAGTCGAGTGCAGCTTTCAGGACCCCAGGAAGCCGAAAAATATGTGTTACATATGGTGAGTTGATTAAATAATGAATAACCTAGATCAATGCACCATCCACCCATTTAGTGGCAATCAAATGAAATGTTTTATTACTGCACATGAGGGCATATAAAATGATTTGAATGTTATTTTCTTCAACATTATTTTCTCTTCTCTTAAAAGCACTAAAGACAAATGATAAGTTCAACAATACTTTGTTTAGTGTTAGATAGATTGTTCTTAGGTAAAAAAAATAAAATTTTTGGTGTCTCGCCAGCATCTCATTTTTGTCCTGGAAAAATAGTCATTGATGAAGTAAGACGTGAAGTTAAAAAAAACAACGCGGAAGTAGCGGACTAAGCAACAGAGTCCGCTACACAACACAAAACATAATGTAGCCGTTTAATTACCTGCACGGAGATCGTAGCGGTCGCGTGCACACTCGGCAGTCACTGTATATAAACGTCACCCGCCCTCCTATTGGCTCGAGCTGAATTCTCCGGAGAATATCCAGCTGCGTTCTCACATCAGCCCACTCGGACTTGCTGCGGAAAAATTACTCGGGGTCTGGCCGAAGAAACTCCGGGTGAATCCGAGCAAAATATTTGGCTGTTTGCGTTCACACATACAACTCCTCCTGGAAATATCCTGAGTCTTTCAGGAGATTTCTGCCCCTCATGTTAAGAAAGATATGAACGATTGACACTTTTCATAGCAGTCTCTGCCATCAGTGTGTGAATGTGTTTTGAATAGGCAAGTGTGATCTGCGATGTCAGAAGACTGACCACTCAAAAGCGCCATTCAAGGTCAAGTTTAGTCACCATTTATTATATTTTGCTTCTTTGCAGATTGAAGATGGTGAGATCTACGCTAGTATTAACCAAAAGGATGGTATGGTCTGCTTCCACGACAACCCAGAAAAATACAACAACCCAGCTATGCTCCACAAAATAGACCAAGAGGTAAATATGTGCTCCTGTTATTTTCAATGTTGTCTTGCTTTACATGATATCTGTATCATATACATCTTAATGTTATGTATACTGTCTAGAAGTATGTTTGATTTCTATTTCTGATCTGCTTTTTGTCCAGATGTTGAAATGTATAGAGCTGGATGAGAAACTAAAGTCTATGGATCAAGAAATCACAGTAAACCCCCAGTTTGTGCAAAAGGTGAGGTTATTTAAATTACACCAAACATGTCAGTTGTATTCACATTTACTACTTAATCGAACCGATTTTTTTGCTTTTGCATGTGCTGGTTTCCACCTTTTTCTCTTAGTTCTAGATGAACTGTATTGTACACCAATTACATTTTAAAATTGCTGAAATATATGATTTAAGGAATGTGAACTTGGTAAACGGCCAACACACGATGCCCTGAATGATATTGAAGTGTTATGAAAGCTCTGATACTGTGACAAAAAAAGGCAATGGTTATTCGTTTTAGGATATTTGTTTTGAAATGAAAGTTTACTGAGTTTCCTAGTAAAACCTTCAAATTCAACATGGACCATTTTAAAGTATGATTTGTTGTGTTTTCTCACAATAAAAATCCAGCAAACCAGTTCTAGTATAAATACCTGGAAAAAAATGACTACTTAGTTCAAAAGGATTCCAAAAAGTTAGACCTTGTGTTATGGAAGTGCAGCAGGAAGCTTTTTTCAACCAGGTGCTTGGATGACTGTAACATATATATATATCTCTATACTTTTTCCTTTTTTTTTTTTCAGAGTTTGGGATCTCAGGAGGACGATGTCGGAAGCAAAACATCAAGTTATTCATGAGGGGCCTAAAAAGGGAAAGAATGTTTTAGCCAACATGTTCTTCCCAGGATGAGTAGGATTTTTTAAAGAGGAAAATACACATTCTATTGCATAAGGACATTGGTCAAAGGAAAATCTAATTGTATGGAATGATTATACTTTTGGTTATTCTTTCTTCAGTGTCTAAAGAATATCAAAAGATCCTGACAGAAAAGGAAAACATAATAGCAGTTTTGTGAATGTTTTATTTATCAATGTTCAGGTCAGAGCACCACTCCCACATTTACAGAAACCACAAAAAAATAAAAACTGGACTATTTTGTTCCAATCATTTGTGTGAATAAGCTCGGCGTTTATTCTTTTTTTCCTGCTGCATGATGGCCGTAAAATATGGGCATTACACGAAAAAAAAAAAAAAGATGGCTGGTGAGGAATAAACCTGATATATTCTACATCTGTCAAGACTGCAATGATCGTTTCCCTCTCTAGCTCTTCTTTAGGTTAAAATGTAGATACCATCAATAGAGATTCTGTACTATGTATATGGGGTGCCCTTGATTGATTTCGGCACATTGGAGCGGTTGCTAACAGCTGGTGCACTGTTTTCTTTTTGTTGTTTCCTTTTCTTTAGACTTTTAGAAAAGATCCACTAGTGATCGATGGAGCATTGTATTAAAACATTTTGACGGTAACAGATGGAACCAAACTGTCATTCATTTGGAAAATTGAGGTTTGCAATTGTGGATCTACTTGTTAATAATAAATTGTTTACCAATATGATATAGTTATGGGTTACATGTCTTTGTGAAAAATGCTTATATATTGTTCAAAATGAATTATACAACAGTTTGTTCTGACCAAGCAATCTGATTGGACAAGAGGTAGGAGAACAACATCACTGGGACAGCATGTATCACCCTGACAGTGTTTTTCTTATTCATCGACCTCATACCTCAGAATAACACAACTGACTCTAATTTGACTGGTTTCATGATAAAATTCATAAATTTGAACTTACAAGTAAAGGTCAAAGTAGCTGCTCTGTGGTAACCTTGGACACAAACAGAGTAGCAAGAATGTAGTAAAATACAATGTTTCAGTTGCCTGCCAACAGTCAAGTTTCAGTCAAATTGCGGAACTAGTGAAGTTGGTGAAGTATCAAAGTCGTGAAAAGGTTGGCCGAGTGCCAAAGATAATCACACTAGTGCTGATATTCAGTACAACATCACTCCCCCTCGTGTTATTGCTTAGTTTACATTTCTTTCAAATTTAACATTGTTGCCTAATAAAGGGAAGGTCATTTGTTTTAACCAAAATCCAGACTGTTAATATCTGCAGTAAAGACAGGCTGGTTCAGCTGTGGTGTGTATGTGACTTGGGGACTCCTGTAGCCAGCCTCAAGCGAACACTCGCCCAGACACTCGCTGCACTAGCGCATCGGCTTCATTTTTTAAGTGCTTCCGAATTGCAAAGTGTCTACACAATCTGACAGTAGACATTCCCTTCTATCTGTGCTGAATACTGTTCAGTAGGCACACACAGTAGGCCGATATTTGTTCCTACTTCGTCTGATTCAGTCAGTGCGGAAGTGGTGTCATTAGCCCGCCTCATGTTACTGACACTCCAACTCAGATGTGATATGCACGATGGCTCAGTAAATAATACAAAGGTTCACATTGTGTGTAAACAATTTGGGTGCGTTATCTGAACCTGCTGCATCCATCCTGTTTTGTTTTCTTTTGGTCCATCCTCATTTATTTTGATTTGGAGTCGCATGTCAAAGTGACATTTTAAATGTAATTTCGCACAGCATTGTGGGTGTTAAAATACAATTCATTTCCCGAAAGGATGCATCTGAACCATACTGCACAAAACCCAGAAGTTAGTATCCCTGCTGAAATGTTCAGACTACTGAGGTGGACCCAAAAAATGCCCACTGACCACAAGGTTGGAAACTCTGGAAAGAAATAGGTGCCCGACTTTAACTTCATATCAGTCACATGGGATAATTTTTTAAAAATGTTTTATGTTAAGATACTTTTAAATCATTCGATACGATACAGTTCATTGTACCCTTGTGGACATTTGTCTTGGACTCAAAGTGTTACCAAACATTCAGCTGCTTTCACTCGAATCAGTAAATAAAAACAATAGATAAAACCCCATCCACACATTAACAAAAAGGCACATACCAATGCAGGACAGCATAACATATATGGCACATTAGCCATATTGCACAAGATCTCTTACTCATAATGCATGAGAGACAAAGTAACAAAGGTAAGAAAATATTAAAAGCATACAGGGACACCATGACGCTATTGCACACCCCACACAGCCTTACAAAATATTATTCAGAAATTTGATTGACGTGGGAACAACGTATTGCACAAACTTTTTGCTTCTGGTCCATCTGAGCAGCACATGAAAACAGCATCAATGACACCCTGTGAGATACTGTTGAAATTCCAGTGCTAACCAACTTCAGCCAGTGTAGTAATGTTGAGTGAATGTGAAGAACTACACATACTTTATCCTTGATATATGAATGCATCAAAATACTTTTGTCAACAGCATTATTTGATAAATCACCTTGATGTTTGCGTCTGGGTGTATCTCGTGTTACTGGACATGAAACATTAAACAAAGTCATGTTGGTTGCAGCACTACAAACACATCCACCTTCAGCTCAGGAGAAATTGCCCACACTCCGAGTCTTGTATGTCCTTTGTATCAAATGTCGTAAATATAAACAGTGCAGCTGAACTAATAGCCTGCTCAGCGCTGTCTGTTACAGTTTAAATGATTCAAAAGTCAAATCTTCTGACCTTCAAGCTCATGAAATGTCATTGCTTATGAAAAGCATATTGCCCATGCTTCAGGAATGTTGAAACAGATGAGGAGTTGATGAGTTTGTTTTGTCACACTAAACTGATTGGGTAGGTAACTGATTGTTTTTTTATTAGAGAGGACATGACAAAGGCTATATCTAGTGGTGTGTTCAAGTCCCACATTGAATCCAGAGACAGTAGAGCAACAGTGATTTGTTTAGTAATTATTGTCATAACAAAGGTCACTGGAAAACAGACTGTCATGCTTTTTCAGTTAAAACTGAAACAAACTAATGCAATCCATTGACAAGGGTTTATTGTGAGTTTCCTTGGGTTGATTGCCAGGGGGAGCTCAGTGTTGAAGAGGCCTTTGAACTTTTTCTTAGAAATGGTTATGTTTCTCTTCCGGGAAGTAACCATAAAGTGCTTGTTAGAGAGAATTTCTGCATGTGCCTTGTTTGAGTACTGTGTCCTCCTTCTCCATCCAACACATGCACAAAACACTTTTCACACACACTCACTTAACTAACACTACTGACATCCAAACTTTGTCTCTTTTGCAACTTAATTCATATTTTTGTAAATATAATATTTTAAATAATTGTTATTTCAATGCCTCCTTTATTTGCCATGACATATTTATCTGTGAAAAAGTGAGTTGATTTTGCAATGTAAGTGCGTTCCCGACTGAGTGCCAATATCATCTTGCGGTTGGATATGCTATCAGATCAGATGTGTCCTCCTTCACAGAGTCAGTAGGAGCTGATACTGCAGGAAGCGGTAGAATTAATTATCTGATGCAAGTTGAAAGACTACAACCACTGCCTACATCCCTGTTGGATACCTCCTTGGCACAACAATTCTATTGGTTGTCGCTCGGCTAAGGATGTAAATTAGACAATTCATATTCATTTAATAGTTAACTTACCAAAATCAGATGTGTCTAATCATATCGCAATGACTAGTGCATGGATTTGATCAGTCCACCCCAAAAAAAGTATTTTTTTCCCAGAATTACACAATGTATTGACAAGGAACTGCATAGCACCAATACAAACCTGCTGAGTCTTTCCTTTTAAAAGCTATGTGATAAGAACCAGAGACATGGTGGTTGGTCAAATTCAGAAGAGGAACAAATACACTATTTTAAAAAGGACGACATAGAACAGCCAAATCAGGACTAATTCAGTCACTTATGTAAGATGTTGGGCAGCTTTGTACTTGAAAATGTTGAAATGAAAGGCTTCTTCAGTTCTTAATTGAACTGGAGAAGAGGTGAAACGTCTTCAAGATGTTCAACTAAGACTAGTTGTCTTTGTAACAAACTTCGATTCAAAATCTAAGTAGATAAAGCATATTTCTGTACACCTAATTTCTTTTGCTTAGGAAGTTGGAGAACCTTTTGTTCCTGAATTATTTTGCTGCCTTCGCTTCATTAAGTGAACATAGTTAGACTAGTTTTTACAGTCCAAGTAATTAATTTAAAACAGGACATTTGGCCCAACAACATCACAAACTGTCCAGTAGATGGAGATAGCTAGCAATATCTGAAAAGACAATCTGTTCGGTGCAGAAGAAGGGAAAAAGAAGATACAAACCTTTTTATTAAAAATAATAAACATATCACTTCTAAAAATAAGACTGTTAGGCAATTAAATAGCCAAGGGTAAGAAAAGTGATAGATTGAGAGGAAATCATCTACTGGGATTGTTTGTAATACCAGTTCCCATTCCAGTGTTTCCAGGAAGATGAACAGGAATTAAATGTGTTTTCCCCCTGGAGGCAGACAGATCGCCCAAGACACTCCAAAGTGGGCCCAGATTTCTGACACTTCCTCCAGATGAAGCCTCAATTTTTCCCAGGTTTGGGCCTTTTCTGGCAGGCACCTCTCTGTAAGATCTACACCGCTCTGCAAGGTAGACCCATTACTAGGAAGCTGCCTCTCAGGGGCCAGGCCCAAAGAAAGTTGTGAAACAGAGCCTCATGGTCCAGTGAGAGCAAATCCCTCTGGACTAGCAGTCACCAAGATATCCAGCTCTTTATCAATGATGGAATGTCTGAGAACCAGACCATATTTAGCCTGTTTGGGACTATCAAAACGCTCTGGGTCCAAATCATCTTCAGGACACCAGCACACTGTTATGCACATCTTGAATTTCTGAGGGGCAATAGGAGCTGCTATAGACTAATCTACACTGGGTTCCACCTCTTTACACTCAGGAAAGTAAAGGGGCAAAGCCACGCCTCAGACTTTAGTAAGAACTATCAGTAAGAAGGCAGACTCGAGCCGTTTTCACATATTATGCACTCTTGAAAATATCTAGCTAATTTCAGGAGGACTGCTCCGGAGATTCTCCTGACCTGGCTGTTCACATATGCTCTTCACAGCAGGGGACTATACCTGTCAGACGGGAGTGGGGACAGGGAGTCTCCTGAGGTAAGAAGTGCTATATAAAACAACATGGAGGTAGCTGACGAAGCAACAGAGTCTGCTATACGAGGTTATGATGAGAATATTAACCTTTATATCAATGCTACATGAAGAATCACAGAATGACATCGTATAAAGAGCGGACCAACATACTGACGAACAGAAAACGTAATGCAGTCTTTTTATTACATGCACCGAGTTCGCAGTTGTTGCGTGAATACCACCGTGCAGCAGTCAGAGTAAATAAATGTCACTTCCCCCTCCTATTGGCTCGAGGAGAATTTTCCGGAGAATATCCTGCGGCGTTCTCACATCAGCCCACTCGGACTGGGGGAAAAATATTAGGGTCTGGCAGTAGAAACTCTGCGTTAAATCCGAGCGAAAAATTCAGCTGTTTGCATTCACATACAGCTCCTTGTGGAAATATTAGAGTTACTGCATTATAAAAGTAACTTCAGCATATCCTCATCCTCAGCATATCCTCATCCTCATAACTGTCACATTATTTAGTGATGCTGTGGCAGAATTCTGCTGTGACAACTTCAACTGTGTCATTTTCTATTTGGAGGTATTTTTCTAATTAGATCTCTGAAGGCAACATACTCAGCTGTTGACATGACAGCTCACAGATGAATGATCCCTGTCTGTGTTTGTATACAGTGGCACGACATTCTTACTCCCAGGATGCTACCGTACTGACGTTAGTGTAACCTAGGACAAGGTTACACTATCTAACATGAATCTGGAAAGTAAGTAATTTGTTACTAGTTATTGAAAATAGCAGTGGCGTAACAGTAACGTGCAAGTCCCAACACTGAGTGTAACCCAGCTGGGGAAGGGGTTACTGCCCTTTGTGATGTCACAAAGGGAACATCTCCAAACGGACTGTTTGAGAAATAATTTTCTGAAAAGCGGAGCAGGAAAGAGACGGAGAGGATGGACTTTTCTCATAATTGTTTGTAGACAGGCTAGGGACACATATTAGTGTTAGATAACCATGGTATAGTGTATTTTGCATTTAATATGACCTTTAAAGCTTAGAATGCAAGTGATAGGGACAGATAAACAGACATATAATACATTTAAAAGTAATATAAAAAAAATCCAGATCCTGCCTTCTACCTAATACAATTGACACATAAAATACTTCCTTATATAAACCATTCTACAATGTCACATCTAAAAATATATGCAAACATGGCTGTGGTTCTTGTTTTGAGCCCTGTTATCAACTGATTAACGGCTTATTTCTTGACTGATACATTAATATGAAGTAATGCACTGGCACTGATGTATATGGTGAATGACCAAAAGTTTAGAAGTTATTTGACAAAAATCCAAATCACAATTATGCTTGGCACCAACATAGAAGTAGGTAAAAAAAAGACATACAGCCTTATATCCAAAAAGAAAAACAAAATAAATACATATCTGCTATGGAAAAGGGTTCTTCCAGTCAACATTTATAGGGTGGTTTTTCAAGTTCAGGTTATTATCAAAAATGTTTTTTTGTGGTAGGCTACCACTTTCAGCTGTTGCTTGATTATGAGACTGTAAATTGAAGCTTGGTTGGCCTAATTAACAAAGCAAACTGCTATAAATTTTAGCTAAAATTTTAATTTTTAAGCTAAATGCTATATAAGCATGCAACCATGCTTTAAGTGACAATGCTGCCATACATCAACCTGTTGCTAGCATGCTAACAGATAAAAGGCCCTAAATGCAAAATGAGGATAAGCCTTAGACTGATATTATTTCTACTCGTAATTTGTGATGGATGAACATTCAGTGAGCAAATGTATTATTTAGGGGCTTCATGGAAAGTTAAGTTCAACCTGTTGAGACAATGAATGTCTTTATCAAACTGTACAGCACTTCACCCATAAATTGTTGAGATATTGTTGGTAGGATACAAAAATACAGAAACAAGCAAACACACAAAATCATTGAGTAATTCCATTCATTATTCACACAATTTTGTTTCAAAAGCAGTGGCTACAGAGCATACAGAAATATGTATGAACACCAAGGCTATGATTGGGTAGGGATGATATGGGCATGTCCCCATCAAAGTTCAGAACATTTTTGATTTATCCCAAGTGACAGTGAGTGGTAAGTAGTGGTAATAATACATTGTCCCTGATGCTCATGATAGCATCTCACAGTTTGATGTGTTTGATTAAAAAGCTTTAACCTGCCAAGATTTGCATCACTTTGTCAGAATTATTATAGGGCTATACGTAGTGACAAATAAAAAAAAGAAGAAAAAAAAGTAACATTTCTTTACAAGCAGACACTGGAGCAGAGAGAGCAGCCATATCCCTCCACAAACTTGATGAAGAATGATTACAAGCTGCCTGCTTAATGATTACACTATTTAAACTAATAAGACATACAATTTATGTTTTCTAAAAAAGTGAGGTAGGTAAGGATGTGCTTCATGACTGGCTTGTGAACACGTTTGAAATTGTATGTATTTGCCTGGATCTCTAAAAGGAGCACAACAGAGTCTGAGAACATGCCAGAGTCTCGTATTTTAACCCATGCTTACAGTATTTCTTCAGATTTATCTCAACATGGGGAGATTTCTCAGATAAATTCTACCACAAGACTTTTCTTCTTCTCTGTTTTATTAATAAAGCATCGAGTTTAGTCTGACAAAGATGCTAACCAATTTTGTCTTGGGAAATGGAGAAACCTTACTAAATTGACTTTACTATGGAATAAAATATGGGAAATCTTGGCTCCTGCTGCTTCCATTTTTGCCATTCTTTATATAATAGCCATTTTCTCAACTTAAAGGCATTACAGCTTTGATCAACAATCCACACAACAAATCTCTCAGGCTTAGTTTTCATTTGTTTTGTTCACATAAGACACAATACAGTCACAAGCTTGTTTGTTCTCAACTCTCATTCTCATCCCCCCAATCATTATCCCTGTTTGCTATAATTTCCTACTTTTTTTGAGACTAAGCATTTTTACAAGCAAATGCCACATGAGACAAATGTGAAGCTCAGGTGAGGAAACTCATTATCAAATCAAATCAGGAGGAAATATAACATATTCAAAGGACACATTTAATAAAAGGCTCTTACAGTGGCACTTCAGGCAGGGTAGCAAATAGAATATATGATCAAAATACAATATACAGGAAAGTTCATGTAAGGATTTTCCCAAAGGTCCATTCATAGCTTTTCTTGGAGCATTACAATGTATCAAGGTATTAACATAATTATACTGCATTTTCATCCATGCCGGGAACTTTCCCCCGAGACACTCGCAGAAACCAATTGTGGACATATAGCTACTTAAAAAGTAACACAGTAAATGATGTCTCATTAGAATAGAATAATAGAATAGATCAATCAATAGAAACCTCAAGTGTGTATATGTACAGTATTTGATTTCAACACCACTTGTTTATGTAGTGTTGAGAATCACTAGAGTTGTTTTACTCTGATTCAGGGCAAACAAGTTCAGGAGATTTGTGCTTCAGTCAGTGTACTTTGCTTAACCTCTGAAAGCTCTCTGGAAATTGTTTATTTTCACTTAGACTTTGTTCATGTGTCAGTGTCCGTGAGCAGCAGCTATTACATCATGCTTCTGACTTCACCTTTATATGTAAATAGGGTCACTAAAGCCAGCCAAAAAAAATTGGAAGCCCTTAGCTTCATTGTCTCCTAGGATGTGACTTCCCGTAACAATCAGATGCTGGTCTGCAGCTCACCATTGAGAAGGGCAGCGTTGTGAGTCTCCAAGTTGGTGTTAATGATGGCTGCATCATTGACCATCCTACTCCTGTCTGCCCTGCTGTCACTGCGCTCTATTTCATCCAGACCTGCTACCTTTTTCAGGCACAGTACATTCTGAAAGCTCTTCTTGAAATTATCTGACAGGAAGGCATACAGGATAGGGTTTGCGCAGCTGTTGGTGTATCCAAGCACTACAACAAAGTCGAAGGTGCTCTTCACAGCAGAGGTGGGGTTAATGGAGCTGGTGACGGAGGCAACGTTGAATATGTAGAAAGGTAGCCAACAGAGGACAAACACCGCCACCACAATGGAAACCATCCGTGTAACCTTGCGCTCAGAACGCTTGCGCTTGGTGGAACCCACTCTCAGACCAGATGACTTTACCTGTCAAAGGAATGGACTGTCATTGACTTGTTTGTATTGTGAAACACACTTATGGAAAGGTAGAGGTATTGCATTCTCATCTAATTCTTGCAGAGAAAAACAAATAAATGAATTTCCCCCCCATGTTGAACTATTAATTTTAGATTAGAAATTTCACCAAGCAAGTACTAGCTAGCTCATAACCCTTTTCAAGGACCATTCAAAGCCAAATGGATATCAGATTACCAGATGTTAGTCATGTTTTAGTTACTAATAGTTTAAAATAATAACAAAACATGATTTTAGAGTAGTCAAAAAAGAAGTAGCATCATGAATGACTATAATAACAATACTCCAAGTACGGATTTATTTAGTGAATGATTAGATTGGTAAAGTTTCTTTAGGTAGCCTTTGTTCAAACACATGGTTCGGTATGTATTTATTGGCTTTTCCATTGTCAAAAGTTGGGAAGGGTACCAAAATAACTGATCCGTACTGTCCTACTTTTTTGGTAACCCTCTGTTGGGTTGCCAAGCATACTGATCCAACCCTAAAGGTTGGAGCGAGACACACTGCAGTCTGTTGATTGAAAGAATCTTCACTTCCCTTGTGACAGTGGTAATAAAGGACAAACACAAAACTCACCTTGTTTAAACATCCTGTGGATTTCAAGAGAGTCATTTCAAGGCTGTTTTTGAGATTTATATCAGCGCATAGCACCGCCCCGTGGACTTACATCTTGCCTACCAAGAAAGACCACTATTGGCTGTCTCTTTGTACAATCTCTTTGGCTCCCAACATGTAAAAATGAACTGTATTGTTGCAAAAAAAAGTGACGCTGCAATAACACTGTTGTAAATTTTAGAGCTAACATCAATTTACTCTGCACTTGTGCTTCAATCACTTTTTAAATTAAGCAATTTATGTGATTCAATTGACACGTAAATCACCAGGGTCAAATATTGGCACTATCTTGACTGCTAGATGTTTGTTGTCTTTCATGTATTTATGAAATATAATGTCATTCAATATAAGGGTAATGAAGACAGACTATGCTACATTATAGTGTCTGACACTCACCTTGACAATAATAAGAAGGTAGCACAGGCATATGACAGTCAGTGGAAGAAGGAATCCAATCAAGAAGGTGTAGAACATGAACACTTTGTAATAGACATCCTGGGGCTCTGGCCACACTATCCCACACACTGGCACCTCGTTTAAGCAACTGAAGATCATAGTAGGTAAGATGACTAACAGCGACACACCCCATACTGTCAGGTTAATTAGCTTGGCTATGCGAGGCTTCCTCCATCTTGTGGATTTTATAGGATGGACCACAGCCAAGTATCGATCAATGCTCATCACCATCAGACAGAAGATGCTGGTGAACTGATTAAGAGAGTCTGGGAGAGGGAGAAAGACAAAAAGACAATTACTTATGCACCTTATACAGTGATGTTGTTTATCTAAAAGTGATTAAGTTATGATATTATTAGTATTATATAATGTCAAGATGAAAATGTGGTATATTTAGATCTTGCTTCTAGCAATAAAGCAAATGAATAAACGTGTTCCTTTCAGACCCCTAAATGTCCCAGAATGTGAACAAAACCCCTTTCGACTCAAGAATGAATTAAATAACAATGTGTATCTAGAATGTCTTCATATTGCAGGCATACTGTAACATAAGCAAGAAAGACTGCTGCTGCATTTCAGTGTAAATCCTTGTTTTATACATACCGACAGTCATGATCACTCTGCAAAGCACCTCTCCAAAAGGCCAGTGCACCAGTGTCAGCTGCAGAGCGATGAATGGCAGGCTCATCATGCACAGAACATCTGCCACAGCTAGGTTCAGGATGTAGATGTTGGTCACCGTCTTCATTTTGGCGTAGCGCAGGATGACATATATTACCAAGGTGTTGCCCCACAGCCCAACCGCACATACCACGAAGTAGATGAAGGTGATGACCATTGAGCTGGTCTTGTCCTGGTGAAGCTCCCTGGTATGAGAGACATTTAAGTCCAGGTCTGACTCATTCCCCTGGATGAAGCTGTCGTACTGGAGGGCCTCAGGGATGGAGATATTTGGGGGAGTTTGGAGGAAAGGCAACTGATCCAAGGCCATGATAGATTAGGGTATCAAATGGATCCAAATGATAAAAGGGCCTAAGAGGTAAATGTGAAATCACAAAGGAGTTAATTTTTACATAATTTAAGATCTTAACAACTGGATGTTTTGAACAGGATGATTTATCCTTAATGTAGAACAACGAATATCAAATTCTTGCTGAAAAGAAAGAGTGAAAAAGATCTGTGGAAGGAGAGTCCAGAGTGAAGGATGAGTATCTACAGTGGAGATACAAAGAGTATTTCTTTTGACAAATGTTAGTCCTGCAGGATCCATGGAAACAGTTGCAACGTTATTTCATACATCTGCCTTACCACCTTTAAGTATCTAGTTTTTTATTATCAGTTATTTACATTCCTTGATAAACAAAACTTCTTATTCCACTTAAAGCAAGCACTTGGTAGACAGTAGTGTTGTAGTCAAGACCACACTAACCGAGACCAAGACATGCACGAGACCAGAGTACTCCAAGACCGAGACAAGCCCAAGACATTCAGTCCAGACAGTACCAAAGGGAACTTCCTCATACCATGCATTCGCACAAATGATGATGGACCAGCTTTCTCAGAAAATGTTAACACACCCTTTTATGATCGCAACTTCTACTTGTCTTCACCTCACCACTGTAGTCCTGATACACCAATCAGATGTCCTTTAATTGAGGGAAGGGGGCATGTTAGTATGATGATTGCAGGTCAATTTAGAACGATTCTCTAATATACACAGGGTGATGAGAACAAAATTGGCCAGTGCGCACGTGTCATGAAACCGACGGTGATTTTGCATATGCACTTATTTTATGTCCAGAGTAAGAACATTTCTACTTCTATATTAGTGAATGAGGCCCGAATGTCTCCTTCGTTTTAAAACCCCACCTGAGGCACAACTTAAAACGACTGGAGCTTTTTGGTTTCCTACCAATTTAATCATGAGCTTTACTTTACACTTTACTTTGGACTTATTTGGTGCTGCTTGTCAACAGGCAAGACAGGCAACTGCTTGGGGCCCAAGGCCAGTAGGGAGCCCCCCCAGGATGAAAAAGTTTAAACCACAGAAGGGGCCAAAATGTGCAAAGTTTGCAATGACAGTAGGAAAACTCCCTAAGGCGGCCCCATCATAAGGCACTCACTCTCTTTTGCTGCTTAATGTTGCAACTTCCGCTAATATTGTATTATTATGTTCTTTGACCTTTATTACTGTTCTTTATATTTATAAACTAATGCCGATTTGAACTTTGGCCATCATTTTTTGCCATTTCCATTTTTTGTTGTTGTTAACGTATTTATAATTTTATGGTGATGAACGCTGCGGTTAGAGGGTTCCCTGGGAAATTTTGCCACTGTTTGTGCTTTTATCCAGTGTCAAAATATCAGCTGGTCCTATTCTCTTTTCTCGTTGTCCAACTCAGGTCTATAAATCCTTCAAGGAATGAGCACATGTGTGCCTCCGTGTGTGTGCTGTCCCATGCCTGCATATATGCAACAGGTTAAAACTCAGTGGGAGAACAACAAGGGCACTGCGCCACTGAAAGCAAATGTTTATTCAATTGATCTCGGGGACAAACAGCTTGTACACCGTGGCAGGATCATTTGATCTTCCTCTGCAGCTTGCTCAACGAGAACAGTTTTTACCTAAATTGTGATGCGACATGATATGCACAGATGTGGCAAACGTTTTACCATTTCATTATTGAAAATAAGTTTCTCAAAAAAACTTTTCAGATATGCAACTTTTTAAGCCAAAAGGCCAAAAGAGCAGGATAAGGCTGACCTTTACATTTCAACTATTTATAACTAAATCAAACAATATATTATCATGTCTTAGTGTTTTAAAAATAAAACTATCAATTTGTTTAATATCTAACAATGACAATCAGCCAGATATATTATTCTACTAATACCATATATCATTCCTCAAAAATACCCTAATGACATTATACTTCTTATTATTCATCTCTAAAAAGATTTAGTCAGTCTGTCTTTGTAATTCACACTACGAACCTGGTCAGATAAATGAAAGCTACTAAAATATTTGAGCAATAAGGATGTGAGGAATTGTGCATAATTTAACTGAGGTTTCCCTCAGACTTTCAGACAGTTAGGGAGATGATATGCCTTTAATTTCAAAACACAAAATAGGTAAAGAAAAAAATACAGGATCCGCACACCAAGAAGATCCCAGTGTTTATTGATGAGTGATGTGTCCAACATGCTCTTCCTCAAACAAAATACATGTTCAGGAAGAGCATGTTGGCTCGAAACGTCACTTCAATAAATCAACAAATCCTTTTAAAGCGAGCTTCTTGGTGTGCAAATCTAGTTAGTATTTTCTGTACCTATTCGTGATTTTGGATCCAGCACCCGCTGAGGGATATGTGTGTCTTATTTAAAATTATTTTTCATCAACACAAAATGGCATCATTTTTACCTTTTTTTTCTGAGAAGGACCCCCCTGACCCCACTCCAATTATGACCTGTATGATACCCCTGGCTGTATTCACGAACTATCAGCTAAAACATTCAAGCCAAATGGATGGATTTTAGGCTTAGCAAAACTAACGTACGAAGCTACAGGAATTTCTTGACTGGAGCTGCACCTGTAAGACTTGAGCCGTGAAAGAAGCAGGTGTGAGAAGCATTTACCTAACCCTCTTATACAGTCCTACCAATTGGCACTAAAAAGTAAAATATGCGTAAAGTAAATGCTATTAGTTCATTTCTTTCTGGTGCACAAAACTAAGAAGGCTTACCGCTTGAATCGATATTATTAGTCTTTATTAGCCTACAGTGTTTAGTTAAACTGTTTAGTTAAACAGACACAATAAAGCGGTCTGAATTTTCGCTACAACACAGAAATGCCAATAATCTTCAGCAAAAAAATAAAATAAATAAATCTTAATTTATAAGCATTACTTACATTTAAGCAGAAAACGTCAACCTCATAGTAAGTCATTCAACACAGAGTGGAGTCCAGGCGCTCCGGATCAGCGCTGACCTGCTGGAAAGCTGCATGTCGCCAGCTCTCCTTCCAACTGCTGTCCGGGGTTACCGTTACGCACAGCGGTGGTGTTGAGCCGCCCACTGGCCACCTTTGCTAGAGCTGATTCTCCTCACACTTCTCCCTTGTCATTTCTTTTTTGACCTAGCAAACACAATTTACCGCAGCCTTCACGTCTAATGACGATATAGTGCGCTCACAACACAGTCTTAATAACACCAATTCTTCCCACGCGACAAGACAGTCAGAGCAGATGGACTGAACGCGAGAGGGAGGGAGGGAGAGAGAGAGAGAGAGAGAGAGAGAGAGAGAGAGAGAGAGAGAGAGAGAGAGAGGGAGAGAGTGAGAGAGAGAGAGAGAGAGATAATATCTTGTGTGCACAAGTTATTATATTGAGCGCACAATTCAAAAATTGTGTAAATTAACATATTGTGCTCCATCTTGTGTATGGATCCCCTAGAAGTCCCAAAAAGTACAAAAAAATATATATATATCTTGTGCACACAAGATTTATCCCTTTTTAAAAGATGAATAGTAGCCTAAGTAGCCTAATACTTACTCCTAGTAATACTAGGACCAGTTATTTAGCATTTATCAGGTTTTCTACTGCTTATCAGACAAAAACACTGATGCAGCGTTGGACTTCTGTTTATTGTATCTACCTCCTTTTTTTTCTATAATTCCATGAGTCTTCTGCTTTATTTGGTCTTCATACACTATTATCACTTTATTCTTTTCTATCAGTTTCACACAGCTCTGGTTACACTCAATTCCTGTTGTATATTGTACATCATTGCACCACTATCACTGTATTCATTCAGTATTTATTTATTTTCATACAGATCTTCTAGTTAGTTCCCATTGTATAATTTACTATTGCACATTATCACCTTATCATTCATTCTTGGCCTACTTGCACATAGCTCTGTATCTCCAGCTACAAGACCAATTTGACCAATTTTTTTAAGTCTAGTTTTTTAAGTAACTCTTTTTAAAAAAATGTATACAGTATTAATAGAGCAATTGTATCCTAGAATCATCACAAGAAAACAGAATATGACACAGTAATTGGTCAGTAATTGGTACTGAAAAACACAAAACCAAAAAATTCTCAGTCACCTGCATTTATTTACAATCTATTTACAAATTTAATCTCAAAAAAGCTGAAGGACAAATTGGATAAAATGATCAACAAAAGGGAATTTCTGGTCTTGTGATTTTGATTAACGAGCCTTAAAGTGTATTATGCAAAATACACTTTACCAGGTTTTTCTAAAACTAATATGTGCTCCTATAGTATGTCTACAAACCCCCCAATTATGAGAAAAGTCCATCCTCTCCATCTTTCGCCTCTTCCACTTTTCAGAAAATGTGTGCTCAAACAGGCCATTTGGAGATGTTCCCCTTGTGACATCACAAACAGCAGTAAACCTTCCTCCAGTTGGGTGACACTACCAAAGCAAGGTTTTTGTTCTGCCCTCTGAGTCTGCCTTCTCACTGTAAGCAATTGGATATGGAGTGAGGAAGCCATACCACCCAAGCCCTTCCAGAGAGGGGGTGTGGTCAGACACAGCTCATTTACATTTAAAGCTACAGAAACAGCCTGTTCTGAGCAGGGCTGAAATAGAGGGGTTTATAGGCATGATCAAATACAGAATCAGAGTGGATTTAGAACAAAAATCTTCACAGACATGTTTTGGGGAGCTTTGAGACTTATTTAGACTGGTTGAAAAGGAAGATAATATATGACCTTTAAAAAAGATTCTGGACAATTCCGAAGGAATAGGATATAAGAAACTTTATTTTTCACAGGAAGAAAAGTGTATTTTGGTCAACACAAGTCTCCTAAATGTAATCCTTGTAACCTACATTTCAGACAGTAATGAACGGAGCTGATGCCATGTGAACATAAAAGTCAACATACAGTCAAAAAGGATGGCATATTGCATCAGAAAAGGACATAATCATAAATAATAGAATCAGTCCAACGGGACTTCTAGAGCTACAACAATACACTGCGAATTAAAGCTCCTATGGGGAACTTGAGGGTTTGCGGTAAATTTGGCGCCCCCTGTGAAAGTTGTTGCTCTTTGTGTTTTTCAACAGAAGCCTAAAATTCTGCAGTCATCTATCAGTCAAAATGTTTGCTGTGGAATTTATGAATGAAGGTTGTTACTTCAGTGTGATGTACCACACCTAATAAGCGACAGTTGTTACAAGCCTTAAAATAACTGTATCTAAACTATAGTGTAGAAAGACTTAATTTGAGTTCATGCATCAACAAACAATCCAATAGTTAAATATGTTTAAAGAATATGAAAGGTATCAGTCATGACAAATTGGCAAATCATCATGGCAAATTAAGTAAATCAGTGTGTGAGTTTTTGTCTTTTCTCTATGCCAAAATGTTCACATCCTGCACACCGGTGTCATGTAAGTCATACTGTTCAGTGTTGTTGTGTATGCTTGGATATAAATTGTTGCCTTGGCAAAGGAGGGTGCGGAAGTGCCCCTTGAAGGTGTCAGAGAGGCAGGCATACAGGATGGGATTAGCACAGCTCCATGAATATGACAGCAATACCACAAACTCAAAAGCTTTGGCAAAGATTTGGACCAGGTCACTTTGATACAGGGAGCAGAAGTTAAAGGTGTAAAAAGGCAGCCAGCACATTCCAAACACCACCACAACTGCCACCACCATTTTGGTGACCTGCCGTTCCAGCCTTTGGCTCTGTTTGTGCGGCGCAATTGCTCTAATTCGCTTGGACCGCAGTGTTAGCAACAGTGCTGTGTAGGCTACTGTCATGACCATAAATGGCAAGGCAAACCCTGTGAAGAAGGTGTAAGTTAAGGTGCCAAGCCACCAGGCATCTGATACCAGGTTGGGTATACACTGGCCCCCTATCGATGAGAAGTGTAGCGCCATTGGAAGGATGGTGATGAGTGAGAATAGCCACAGAAATGCTGAAACTATCTTGGCAATGCGTGGCGTTCTCCAGCGAGCAAATCGAAGCGGGTCAGCCAGAGCCATGTAGCGGTCGATGCTCATCACCGTGAGACAGTAGACGCTGGTGAACTGGTTAATGCCGTCCAGAACCATAACCACTTTGCACGCCATGTCGCCAAATATCCAGTGCTTTTGAAAGTTCTGGCTCGCTATGAAGGGAAGCCCAACCATGAAAAGTCCATCGGCTAACGCTAGGTTCAAAATGTACACTGTTGTGGAAGACGTCATTTTGTCCAATTTCAAAATAGCAACAATGACAAGGGAGTTTCCAGCTAGTCCAAGGATGCACACCACCAAGTACAGTATAGCCATGGTGATGCCAAAGCCATCAATATTGTCTGCTAAATAAGAACGTTCATCCAAATAAGTCTGATTGTATTCTTTATCAACTAAAAATGATAAATCCATTTTGCCTCAGCAAATCGATGATTGATCCAAAAAGAGAAAGGGTTGCTTAATAACACTCAGAGACCTGGCAGCCAAGAAGGAGAAAATCTCTGCCTTTGTTGAATTCCTTCCTGAAATTAAGAGTCAACCCTTGACTGCCCGTTGCGGATGTAAAAAGTTCTCAGACAAGAACACAACTCAACCGTAAAAAACCTTTGAATCAAACACCATGTCCAGGTTCAGAAAACCGTAGGCTGCAGCTCCCCTCCTCCAGCAAATTGTTATTCCTTTAAAAAAAAAAAAAATACAATAAATTCAAAAACTTTAAAAGTTAGTTCCTCTGTGGTGGAGACCGCATGCTTGTCTATGACCTCCATGTGTACACTCAGCCATAAACACGCTCATTGTGGAAAAGAGGTGCGACACCCGAACGGTTGCTTGACTTCTTTTTCTCCTTCTCTCTGAGAGCCTTTATATATCCCACCCACCCATTTCTGAAGAGTTTGTCTGGTTCTGTGTGTGTGCCCCCCCACCCTCTTCAAACACAGCAGTCTCAGTCTACAGAGGTTGTGATAAACTCCAGCTTTGCGTAACCCCCCTCATTGCTCCCCTGGTTCCTGTGCGGTAATGCTGTGTCCAAGGTAAACGCTGGCCCCATCTGCTGAATTACTTTTGTTTCCTTTACTTTTTTCCTCCACACTTTCTTTATCTTCCCTCTGCTTTGGTTTACTTACACACAGACACACAAACACCCACATACGCACATATCAAAGTACATCTGCTGTCAGGAAGGCAAGTCTACTGTCTGTTTTTCTAGACATTTGAAATGACATGCTGTTTCTACTTCTTTGGTTCCTGACACCCCCTAACTTTAAATTCTGCCATCTATTATATTTGTATAAAAACAGGAGTTGTATTAGTATAAAAGAAAGGTAAAAAGGAGACAAGCAGAAAAGGAAGGCTGGAATTAGATTGATTGGTTGGAAATGGGGGGAAGGGTGTTGGTAAAGATTAAAGACCCCAGATGAGCTAGGACACGCATAGCTGAAATACCCCAGGAATTTCCAGCATGTTTCACCAACATTCATCAACACCACAAGAAAAGCTCATTCCAAGTCAACAGCTCTTCATCATTTTAAGTGTGGCTAATCTCATCTAATGTCAGGATGATTCTCATTGGATGCCACAGATCCCCTCATAGATTTCAAAAGCCCTTACCTTGGCTAAAGCTTTCAGTGGTCTCAAATTAATGGGAAGAAATGCCTTTGTAGTCTTCACTTCAGGTTGGGTCGAGGCTTAACTTCCCCCTTGAGACAAGCTCTTCATATGATAAAGTCCACCTTTCCACCCCAGCCCAGACCCCCCTGTAAAAACATAACAAGTATTTTTTGTTTCATAGAACTAATTCTGGAGGTGTTTGACTGCTTTGTATTTCACAGGCAATATTTCACTGGGGTTTTCAGACACTGCAAAACCTGCAGCACAAGGGCAAGCGGAGTAAAATGGATGACAGCTTTCACACATTACTCAAGGCTAAAGGTTTACTACACTTAACAGTTAATCAAAAGAGAAGCTTTTGAGAAGTTGTCTGTTCTCTGGTCTTGTTTTTCCCTGTAAGTTCCCTTTTTTCTTTATTATCGCACACATTCATTGCTGTGGAATAAACAATAATAATAATAATAATAATAATAATAACTTTATTTATATAGCACCTTTTAAAAACACAGGTTTACAAAGTGCTTTGACAAACAGCAAAAACAAGAACGAAGCAAACTAAACCAAACACAGAAGAACATTAACAACAGCAAGAATATAACAGATGCAAAATACAAAAAACTATTAAATACAATTCAACAGAAAAGAACCCAAAGTGCACGATACCCAACAGACATATATAACCCGACCATCACAAGAACCATTATAAGAACCCAGGCAACACAAGAACCCAAAAACAAGAGCTGAGACCAAGAGGACAAAAGCTTTAAAAATATGTAAGAAACTAAGAGATAAAAGCAAATAAAAAGATAACAGCAATAAGAAGGTAAGAGTAGTAAAAGAAATAGAAACAAGTGGTTAAAGGATCAAAAAACCCAAAACTATAATATTAATAAAAGTAAATATAAATATGAAACATAAATAGACAAAGTAAGTAAGATAAGAAATTACCAAGTTAAAACACAAGAGGAGATTAAGATATGAGCAAAATACGAGATAAGAGCATAAAAAAAGACAGTAAGAAGTAAAAGAAGATAAAAATAGTAAAACCAGTAAGAGAAGACATTAAGAAGACGACATCACACAAAAGCAAGTCTGTAAAAGTATGTTTTAAGAAGGGATTTAAAAGAATTGAGGGAATCTGTAAGTCTTATCTCCTCAGGGAGGTCGTTCCAAAGTCGAGGGGCCTGACTGAAAAGGCCCGGTCACCTTTAGTTTTAAGTCTCGACTTTGGAATGACCAGGAGGCTCCCACCTGAGGATCTAAGACTGCGGGCTGGCTCATATGGTGTCAGTAGCTCTGTTATATAGCTTGGAGCCAGCCCCGTCTGTGCTTTAAAAGTAATGAGTAAAATCTTAAAATCAATTCTAAAACGTACAGGAAGCCAGTGTAATGAAGCTAAAATTGGAGTGATGTGATGTCGTCTGTTACAACCAGTAAGAGACAGTGACTTATTCGTGATTACGGAAAAGAGGGAGTTACAGTAGTCAAGTCGGGAGAAAATGAGGGCATGGATGATCTTTTCAAGGTCTGGTTGGGTTAGAATTGTTTTAATTTTGGAGATGGTGCGTAGATGGAAGAAGCATGATCGGACAACTGTTTTGATATGGGATTCAAAGGTGAGACTGCAATCGAATGTTATTCCAAGATTTCTTGGAATAAGGGACCGAGGCTGCTCTTTGAGATATGAGTGGAGTTTGACAGGTTGAATACTATGATTTCAGATTTAGAATTGTTCAGTTGGAGAAAGTTTTGTGCCATCCAGCAGTTGATATCGTTTAGGCAGTTTCTGACAGCAGAATATATGTAGAATGAAATGGATGACATATTTCACACAGCTAAATTTAAAGGTCACATATTATCCTCCTTTTTAACCAGTTTAAATAAGTCTCAGAGCTTCCTAAAACATGTCTGTGAAGTTTAATGTTATAAATCTACTCTGATCCTGTATTTGATCATGCCTATAAACCCCTCTATTTCAGCCCCGCTCCGAACAGGCTGTTTCTGTGTCTGTACCTTTAAATGTAAATGAGCTGTGTCTGACAACAACCCCCTCTCTGGAAGGGCTTGGTTGGCTCGGATTTTCTTGTACCGTGCTGAATTGTTAATGGTGAGAAGGCAGACTGAGAGGGCAGAACAAACACCTATGGGAATGTCAACCACCTGGGGGAGGGGTTACTGCCCTTTGTGATGTCATGAAGGGAAAATCTCCAAATAGCCTGTTGAGCATACATTTTCTGAAAAGTGGAGCAGGCAAAAGACGGAGAGGATGGTCTTTTCTCATATGAATGTGTATGAATGGGATTAGTTACTTCTGATGGTCACTTTACTCAGCAGCCTCTGCCATCAGTGTGTGAATGTGTAGGTGTGACCTGCGGTGTTAAAGTGCTTTGAATTTTCAGAAGACTAGAAAAGCACTATACAAGCGGAAGTCCAGTTACTTCCATCATTCTTGAATTATTATCAACTATTCCTTCCTTATATCTAACTGTGGTGTATTATTTATGAATGTATTTGTGCAAAAACAGTTCAAGCTAAGTTGTTGTTGACAGAAATAACATGTGGTTTAACTAATATCTAGTGAGCCTACTTAACTAAGTCATGCTGAGTTTAAAATCATGTGCCGCGATGAAATTATATAAATAAGCACCTCTCTAGGAAAAAAACTACCCAGCCCAATTTCTTGAATCAATGTCAGTTATTAGATTTGACTAAAAGTCTTCTTAAGGGCAGATAGGATAACATCAATATCTGATTAAATTATTTACATTTTTTTCTTTTTCACAGGGCTTTTCTAAGATATAGCTATTAGTCACTTTGTGGGCTAGTTTATCCAATCATACGTCATCATCAATCATTCATATACAATTCAATACGTGAATTAATCAAACGCATTAAAAAAACATATTTTGCCCCCCCATGTTATGATGAATATGACGTCAAGTCGGGTACTGTAATTCTTTGCCGTGTTTGCGAGTTGTCTCTCTATGACGGAGGATTAGGGCCACGAGATTAAACTTGTAAAATTTACGAGTTTGAGACCACGCTGCACGAAAATGATGAAAGGAGAACTCTTACAGCCTTTTCCTCTGCAGACACAACTTCCTCCAAGTCAGGGCGCGGTCACACTGGCAATGTTATCGTACCGTGCACTCCCCCCCCCCCTCCTCCCCATTCCCCCGCTGGCCTTCACGGCCTGCGGTCACTGCTCCATGACAAACCTAAGCACGTTTACCTCTTGTACATATCTTCGTAATACAGCATATGCATGGCTTTATGTTATTTATGAAGCGTGTTCACAGACGGACTCGAGAAAAATAAAAAAAGAGACGCAGTCTGCGTTTGCGTCTGCACATCAGAGAACAACACAGAGAACATGACAGCTACTTTACTGACTTTGTGTCTTATTCTGAGTCACTTTAATAAGATACAGCCATAAATAAATTTAAAAAATAAAAGAGACGTGCGGCCGAGTCCACACATCAGAGAACATGACTGCTACTTTGTGTCCTTACTTTGAGTCAGTTACAGACAGAACACTCAGGATTTCTTCATAGTAAAGGCTGTCCATGTTGTTTACCTGCGTGCTTGTGCTCGTGCATGAAATGCTCTGTGGGGAAGCACAGCTCTCCGAAGCGTGCCAAGGAAGTGTACCGCGCTTGATCACGGCACGGAGCGGTTACACTGGTCAAATGAACTGGACTTTAGGGCTGAAGCGAGCTTAGGCACGGTACGGATTGCCAGTGTGACCGCGCCCTCAGTGTGGTTTCTTGCAGTCCTATCTTTTCATAGTCCTGATATTTTAT